TTAGGGAAGTGAAATTTAGAGATATTGTTGAGAAATCAGGAAGGGAGAATTACTCTGTTGCTTAGCACCATCATTTCTTCCTTAATTCTGACTGAATACATTGGGTCTGCTTTTGAGTCGTCTTTTGTTAGTGTTGCTTTTAAGCACTGGGGGCTGGCCGGGTCCCTAGAGCAGGTTTTTCATATCTTGTGAATGTTACCAGCTTGATAGAAGTAATTGCTCCTTTTCCTTTTGCTCCACCACAATGGACGAAGGAAAATGATCACTAGCCCTGGACAACTGAAAGGCAAAGTCAGCTCTCTGAGCTCCAAGAGCAGCAACCTCATATCTATACTACCACAGACAGACCCCCTTCTGCACCGGAGTCACTGAGATTTCATAAGACACTTCAATGTAGTTTATGCCCCATCCATTATTGAGCAGCCGCTTTCTAATTTAAGAGATTCCTTTGTTTTCCAGGTGGAAAGCATTCTGGGGCTGAGTCGGTAAAGATCAGTTGAGGTTTATTGACTTTTTTCACCCATGAATGGATAGTTTCCTGTACTGGGTGTTGTTCCATGGGACATAAAAATGCAGATCTTCTGCCTGGCGTCATCACATACTCAGGATAGTGACCAAATGGTGTCTAATAATGAAGCAGTCTCCAGTTCCTCATTCCTCTGCAGGAACCAGGGCCCCAGCTTAGTTCGATTGATCACCCCTGGAAACATGCCTTAGAATTGCCACCTTTACCGCTCATTTGGGATATTTCTTTGTGTATAGACTTGTTAAAAAAACAAAACAAAATTTAAAAAGCCCTGCCCTTGCCCAGACAGCTGTTCCTGATTGTTCAATCCTGTAATATTATTTATGCAGCAGGCTGAGATCTGAGGAGCATATTTCAAAGCCAGCCTGGGAAGAATCTGGGGGACTCTTAAATCAACAAGAAAAATGCTCAACCTGTAGGTATGGCTCAAGTGGTAGAGCACCAGCCTTGAGAGAAGATGCCAAGCAAGAACAGCTAGATGCTGAGTTCAAGCCCAACACACACACGCACACACACACACACACACACACACACACACACAAAATTCACTTTTTAGCCAAGGTTTAAATAAATACAATCATTTCTCATGAAGCCTTTCCTTCCTAATATTTCTAGGCAACAAAGCAGATTCTGTAAAACCAAAGCAAACCAATGCTCTCCTTGCTTCAATTATCTATAATACTCAGTTTCTACCATTGTTGTAGACCTGGAACGCGCTAAGAGTATTGTTACATGTGTAGATGATTTATTTGTTTTTCCTTTGTTCCTTGAGAAGTATTATCCATAAAGAATAGTTTAAATTATTTTACTCCTATAATCTAATCATACTCCAAAACACTTGGAAAGGAACGGAATAAATTTAAGTCTCACTGTGTATAATTTTGATTAGTAGCCATCCATTCGTTTGCCTTTTGCATCTGTGATGTGTCAGGTATGATTTTTGCCTTTCTCCACATAATTATAGTACTACTAACCCTCAGTGTTTTGGCTACCTAATAAGCACTCAAGTAGCTAGACCATAATTAAGTTAATGGGTTTGATCGTTTTATTTTTAGACAAGTGTCTTGTTTAAGGAGACAGCCAGTGATTGGAGGATGAGGGTGGCCTGTCCTGCCCCTTGCTCTTCTGTCTTCCGAGTCAGAGGACTGGCTCCTAACAATGGCTACTCAGTCACTCCCGTTACCCAGCTTGGGTTGGAAAGTGCTTAGGACACTGTGACTTCTGAAAAACTACAAAATCATTTCAGGTTCTAATGTGTGAAAGGCTGAATGTTTGGAATGATTCACTACCCAGTTTCAAATAGCTGAGGTTACCACAAATTCATCGAAGCCATCATTGAAAATTTTTATGAGAGAATTTATTATATTGCTCTATACATTCAAGTTACTGGGAGCAACTAAGGCTGTCATCGGGTGTCCTATGAAGACAGCATGAGTTGTCTGTGCTGTTCCGGGCCTTTGTGTGCAGGGCTAACTGGAACAGAAATATGTCCATTATAAAATCAAGAAAAATTTCTTGGTAATGGAACAAAATGGTTCACAAAACATTCTACTTTCCCTAAATGTTAATAGAATATTTCTTTTTACAATAAAGTCTTAACATACACGCTGGACGTTTCTTGTGTGTGAGAAGACATAAGTGAGTATGTAAAATGGTAAAGATCACTATCCTGTGCCAGGTTTCCTGTGTGTGTGTGTGTGTGTGTGTGTGTGTGTGGCTTGAACTCAGGGCGTGGCTCTCTCCCTTAAAAAGCTGTCACTGTACCACTGAGCCAATGGCTCTTTGAGGTGGTTCACTGGAAATAAAGAGTCCCATGGACTTTTCTATCTGAGCTGGCTTTGAACCCAAATCCTCAAATCTCACACTTCTGAATAGCTATGATTACAGAAAGACATGGGCCACCAGGGCACAGCTTGCTCAGAGCACTTTTAACTTGGAAGATCATAGTTAGGTAAATGTCACAGAAAGCCCGTACTACTCAGTTCAAACAGATGTTTGCACATTTCATCAAAATCAAACTAAAAGCTGTCAGACCCTTTTTCTCATTGTTACCAATAATGTATACTTACAACAGAGCCTTTTTAACTTTGTGCCTGATTTGCCTGATGCTTTCACCAAGAGCAATCAGGATTTTCTTTGGGACTGCCAAGGTAACCACAATCACTGTTAACGAATCCTAACTGATTTGTGGCTTAGTGATAGAGCACTTGTCTAAACACGTCTTTGCCCTGGGTTCCAACCCAGCACCATGGGGGGTGGAGGGCATGTATAACAGCACTGAGTTTGGTAAGGGGAAAATGAAGTTGCTTATCAGTCTGCTTTGCTCTCTGTCCCTAGCTCCATGTGATTCCCTGCAGTTTGTCAGAGCTCTGGTGTGTGTGTGTGTGTGTGTGTGTGTGTGTGTGTGTGTGTGTGTGTGTGTGTGTGTGTGTGTGTGTGCGTGTGTGTGTGTGTGTGTCTGCTACTCCTGGGTACTATCCCTGAGCATCTTTTGCTCAAGGCTACTATTCTACCACTTGAGCCACAGTGCCACTTCAGGCTTTTTTTGGATAGTTTCTTGAAGATAAGGGTCTTATGAACGTTGCTGCCAGGGCTGGCATTGAACCATGATCCTCAGATCTCAGCCTTCTGAGTATGAATAGTAAGCGTGAGTCATCAAGGCCTAGCTTAGAGCTGTACTCTTTAGGCTGGAGCTACTCATACCCCAATGAGTAAAGTCTACTTGGCTACCTTTGGGCATTTGATCTTCTTGGAGACCACTCAGAAGATGGGATGGTGAGACTAAGATAGGATTTATAAATGTGGATCTCCTAACACCGTTGTAGTGTTCCCATAAGACCTTTCACCCAACTCATTCTTTAATCCCTAAACACACTGCAGAAAGCTTCAGGATCATCTTTCTACTGCTAGTTGTCCCCCACCACGCCATGTGTTGGTAACGTGGTATTCTGGCCTTGCCACCGATTATTCTTGGAAGCTTATTCTATGAAAACAAAACCAAACCATCCTTGAAGCGAAGAAGAGATGTTCGTGTTTGGAAACGATTTGTCCTACTAATTGTGGCTCAGACAAGTCACCTGAATTCCCATCCCCAGGAGCCTCTGGAACACAGCTTGCCGTGTTTGTAGAAGTGTCGGGCGGCTTTGGAGCTGTAATTAGCACAGCTTTGGGATCATGGGAAAGCAAGTTTATTTCTTTGTTAAATATTGACTGATAGGATTTCCATTATCCTAGTAGAGCAGAGTCATCCACGAGGTGAGAAGACAGCGGTCCGTACAAATTGACTAGGAAAAGGCTTAGATGAGGGTATGTTTTTAGAAAGGCATTGGTGAAGTCTCTGACTGACTGTGATGCTGAGATAGAGAACTTTCTATCTCTGAATGTTACTTGGGTGACCTGTTAAATGTTTACTGTGGGAAGTGAAGCTAGGCGTTCAATGGTTTCCCTTTACTACCATACCTTATATGAAGTTTGTGATCACTGAAGCTTTTTGGAAATGTTTCCCTTGCCCTCAGGGAAAACAAAAAGCGAATGTTCTTTCCTTTCTTGCTGATCTTATCAGGCCAGCACAGACATTGACCCTTTGTACCCTGACTTTACAATGGGAATTTTAAAATAGATCAGCATGGTAGCTTGCATTTCATGGCTTACCCTGTTAGGATTTAAAATTTAAGCAGGCATGAGGGTCATTGACACCATCACCTGACCAAAATGTTACGAATTTCATCCAGGAGCTGGGAAGGTGGCTCAGTGGTAGAGCGCTTGCCTTGCATGCATGAGGCCCTGGGTTCGATTCCTTAGCACCACATAAGCAGAAAAAGGTCCAAAATGACACTGTGGCTAAAGTGGTAGAGTGCTAGCCTTGAGCTGAAGAGCTAAAGGACAGTGCCCAGGCCCAGAGTTCAGGCCCTATGACCAACAACAACAAAAAAAACTTAAGCCAGTCTTTTTGGGGAGGGTCCCCCAAGATGCAGATAGACAACCAAAGAGGTCAGTTTGTTTGGGGGAGGGGTACAAGTATTATTCCTGAAGTGTTTCATTCTTCACTCTAGCTCTTTCTTACCAAGAGTTGCCCCTCATGACTGGGTAATAGGTTATACAGCCAGACCAAAACAAAACAAAACAGAAAACAACCCTGAATTCCCTATTGATTGATTGCTCTATTCTGAATGCCATCTGTGAACTGACTACAATCTTCATTTATTACCGGCAAATGTTAAAATTAGATGTTACGAATATTCTTAGGGGGAAAAAAATGTTTGTACCTTGGAGTCTGCGTTGGCATTATTTATTCTTGATTCAGTATCTCCCGCAACATGGGCACCATGAGGTCTCAGTATCGAGAGAAAGAAAACATCGTCCGCACAGGCAAATGTTGAGGTGCTGACTTCAGATTTTAGATAAAAACAGGTTGGAAATGGATCTCTGAGAACCGTCTCACCTTGTTGTGTTGGCTTGTTGATGCCTTTTGCAGTTTAACTCGGCTGCCAAGCAGCTGATAGAATGGGATAAGCCCCCCACTGCAGGAGGGGACGCGGGAGAATGTACCTCGGCAGCGGTCCAAGGCAGCGCGGCCCCCAAGCACTCCGACACCAAGAAGAACACCAAAAAGCGCCACTCCTTCACGTCCCTCACCATGGCAAGCAAGTCCTCCCAGGCCTCCCAGCACCGCCACTCCATGGAAATCAGCCCCCCCGTCCTCATCAGCTCCAGCAACCCCACCGCTGCCGCCCGCATCAGTGAGCTGTCTGGCCTATCCTGTAGTGCACCTTCTCAGGTGAGCCGTCCACATCTGTTCCCTGGCTGAGAAACATCATGGATTTCAAACATCTGGAGACGGGTAGCTTTCCTGGCACAAGCTGTGTGTGTGTGTGTGTGTGTGTGAGTGTGTGTGTGTGTGTGTGTGTGTGTGTGTGTGTGTGTGCGCGCGCGTGCTCTGGTTGGTACTCGGCTTTTTTGCTCCAAGCTGGCACCCTCTCACTTGAGCCACAGCTTCATTTCTGGTTTTTTGTGGGTTACTTGGAGAAAAGGGTCTCACAATTTTGTATGCTTACTCAGGCTTTCAACCATGATCCTCAGATCTCAGCTTCCTGAGGATTATAGGCATAGGATTATAGGCATGTGCCACTGGTGCCTGGCTTACAAAGCCTTTCTTGATGCTGTAGTTGGAAAGATGGAGGAAAGAAGTAATTTTAGTGTTATCAACCCAGAATGAAGGACTTGGTCATCTTCAAAGGAAAGATTAAAATGGTTAAGATGAGCTAAATAATACCAATCGGTTTCACCATTCATCTCTTAGTTTTACAAAATGGCACTGGGCTACTACTTCAGGATATCTTGCCAACTAAAACTGGATCTCTACCCAACTTTACATGCGCTAGATACTCAACATATGCAACTTCTTGCTCACTGATGTTTAAGTTTCCCCATCAGAGTCACAGAGGGGGGAAAAAAAAACCATGAGAAGAAACATTTCATTTGAATTAGAAATTGACCTTGCATTTTTTAAAGCTCCTTAGCTCATCAAGACTTTTAGACTGTCTTTTAAAAAACTTAGCTACACATTGTTCTTGTGTTAATAAAAATGCATCAGACGATTGCGAATATTCATTCATATGGCAAATGTTTATTGAGTAGCTTAGTTATTAGACCCTTCTAGGTAGCATATATATTAAGATCCACAAAATACAGGCATTCCTTGAATCATACCTGTATGCTGGACTACAAAAAAATCAGCCTAATTATGACCTTTGCCCTTAAGGAAAGAGCTGCTTTCATTATCCAATTAGATAACCACTGCATTTGTCTCTGTCTAAAGGTCAGAGTCTAGTCTAAAGCAGCCTGACTCAACAGGAGAAATTTCCTTCTTGTCTTAACGTATCATTTTGTAAAATGCATACAATATATTTTACTGTAACAATATAGATAGTTTTGGATTTTTTTCTTTTAAAGGTCAAAAATGAAATTATTTCCCCTTGAGGGAAACAGAAAAGAGAGAGAGAGAGAGAGAGAGAAAAGAAACATATAGTCCTGATGCTAAAGATTTAATAAGTGCCTATATTTAATAAGCTTATTACAAATTGCATAACAATTTAGTAAGTGCATATATCAAATTAATAAAGATTCACAACGGAGAGCCAGGCACCTATGGTCATACAATCCTAGCTTCTCAGGAGATTGACAGCTAGAAGATTGTGGTTCAATGCCAGTCCAAACACAAAAGTCTAGGAGATTCTATCTCCAAAGTGATTAGCAAAAGGCCAATCTAAAGGTGTGGTTCCAGTGGCAGAGCACCAGCTGAGCAAGCAAGCCGAGCAAGCTTGAGGCTTGTGTTGAAGTACCAGTACTACAAAAAATAAAAAATTAAATCACTACTGGGGACTGAACATGCTTGCTAGGCAGGCAGTCTACTATTGACCCATGCCTTGGGTCTCTTTTTGTATCAGTTATTTTCAAGGTAGGTCTTGATTTACACCTGGTTGAGTCTGGGCTTCCCAGTCTCCCACTTGTGGGGGTAAAGAGGTATGTGCTATTGCACCAGCCATCCTGCTTCCCAGCAGCTGGGATAACAGGTGCACACCTCTACACCCAACCGTTGGTTAAGATAGGGGACTCTCACACTTCTTTTTTGTCTGAGTAGATCTCAAATGTCAATCCTCCGATCTCTGCCTCCAAGCAGCTAAGATTACAGGCTTGAGTCTAGCTAAAACTTTCTATTTTATTGAAGACACATACCCCCCCCCCCCCCCACACACACACACCAGCCACACACACAGACATGAAGCAGTGGTCTTTGTTTGGTTCACTAGTAACTTGCCATATGGAAAATATATCATAAGCATTCAATAAATATTTGTTAAATGGATGCATCCATTGAAAAATGAGAGAGAAAACATGAAACTAGTCCTATGTAAAAAGGTAGCCGAGGACTATGGATCAGAGCAGGAGTTTGAGTTGTAGATCAGAGTATAAAACACCAAGTGAGATAAATCTGGAAAGATTCCACATGGGAAATCTTTTAATCCAATTTTGGAGAAGAGGGCTGCTACTAGAGAACTCACTACTAGAGAACTCACTGATTTTCACAGTATTTGTTTGTTTGTTTTATCAATCTTGTGAGCTAGCAACATTTGCACAATGAGGTTTTCTTGATATAAAAGACAGACCTGCTAAGAATAGTGACAACACTGAGCTTTGAAAGTGTGGGCTGTCTTTTTTTTTTTTTTTTTCAGTAGAGAAAATTGAAAGAGAAAGGAAGTTGAGCTGAGTTGGTGACGTTTTCTGTAGAGGAGTCGGTGGGCAGGTGTGCGCATGTCTGGTCCTGCCACCCCGGAGCTGAGAGTGAGCACTTCTCAAAGTGGAGCTATTTTTGTTTGGGTTTGAGTAGCTTAGGAAACAAGGCTCTTTCTGTGTTCTATTAAAACAGTTTTCAGCCATTCCCTCCTCTCCCCCCCACCCCCCCTCCGCCCTCCATGGCCATTCTAGTTGGTTTGTTTTCTGTGGTAGCATTTTGCCTCAGGGAAAGGTTATTTCTAGAAGAGGATGGGAGGTGTTTGAAGTGCTGCCTGCTTTCTCCTGCCTACGTTTACAGAAAACAGTGCTTATCTAGGGCACTGTGTATATTGGGAGGAACCACAATCCACAGGTCCACAGGAAAGCTGCCCTGAGTACTGTAGCCTACAGAATGGGCAAACACTGCCTAACGTGGAGCCCAGTGCCTATGGGGAAGGCTATTTGAAACAGGACTGACCTTTTCCTACACCTGGCAAAGGACCTATCTGTAGATTTGAGTGAGGCCTGAGGCTGAATTTTCTCTTTCTTTCCCTTGGTTTAGTTTCTGTCTTCCTTTTCCTTATTCAGGGTCACCTTCAAGTCTCAATTTTTTTTTTTTGTTTCCTCCTATTTTATTCTTCTTCATATATTGGTTAGGGCTGGGTTTCAGTGTTTTTCTTTGATTTGAGATAGGGTGTTGTCACTCTCTGCCTAGAGTGGCCTTGAACTTGCTGTCTTTCTGCTTCTGTCTCCTAAGTAGCTGGGACTATAGGTGTGAACCATCACACCCAGGGTGAATTTCCAAAAGCATAAACTGGAAGATACCTTTTAGGCTGTGTGCCAATGGGTTACCAGCACATATGTGCATGGGTATCTCTGTGAAGCCCACAGTGGTATAAGCAACCAGGACTTTTGTCTGCTCCTCGGACCACACTTGTGATATTTTTTTTTTTTGGCCTCTGTCATTTGGAGAAGTAATTGAATGATATTAAGTGTTAATGTGGCTACTTCATATTGCCCGTGGCCACAGGGGAGACAAGAAGGCTGATCCAGCTGGGTACCAGTAGGCTCACCAATAAGCCTAGCTACTGAAGAGACTGAGATCTGGAGAACTTCAGCTTGAAGCCAGGCTGGGTAGAGAACCCTCAGCTCCAATTCCACCAGTGAAATGGTCAACTGGAGGCATAGCGTAAGTGCTAAAGCACTAGTCGTGAGCAAGCAAGCAGGGTGAGCAAGAGGTCCTGAGTTCAAGCCCAAGCCCCCCGCCCCCCCCCCCCGACACACACACACAAATAATATTAAAATAAAGGCCCATTTTTGACTCCAGTTTACTTTTCCTAGCTGTCCTCTTCACTAGTCTTTTCTGAGAGAGGAGACTTGAACTCATTCTTGCAACTCCATGAGAAGAAGATAGCAGGTTAACAGGTTGTCCCTGTTCATGCTCGCCCTCAGCTCATCTACTTAGGCTTCTTGCTCTCCCTTGTCTTTCTTTGGTGGTTCCTCTTCTTTGCTCTTGTGCACACAGTGGCCCTGAGTGGTGATTTCAAGAGTCTGTGTTCTACCTGTCAGTGCTTCACCTGTGAGGACAAGAGACCCAAGGCAGTCTCTGGCCTGTCTGTCTCCTTCACCAGAGTCCAGAAACAAAGTGACATCCTGCAGCCATGGTCACTCATTGCCAATTATTTTGGCTCCCACAACTGGGGTTTTTCGAGAAATGTGTCTGTCGATAATAAAACCTGTCTTTGATGAATTTGAAGGAGCAGGCCCTGGAAACTGTGGGTTTTTTTTTTCCTGCCCCAAAGATTCTTTAATAATAATATCTACTTTGAGATGAGCTTTGTTACATAAGTTTTTGTGTATACCAACATGCAGATGTTCTTGAAGTATGTATATCTAAAAAGATTTATTGGATGATATGGCTAAAGGCTGTGGACCTCATCCTAGAGTAAAAATCAATGTGTTTCCTATTAGAAATGGAATGGAAATAGATTTTAGGATACAGGAGAGCCGAAGTCAGGGTTTGGGGAGAAACTCTTGTTAGTGGAACCCCTGGATCAACTTAGGTTCAAGCCTTAGGATTCATCAATATATGGGATAGCAAGTACAGATCAATTTTTTTTTTTTGGGTCCGGTTGTAGGGCCTGAACTCTGGGCCTGGGTGCTGTCCCTCAGCTCTTCAGCTCAAGGCTAGCGCTCTACCACTTGAGCCACAGCGCTACTTCCGGCTTTTTTTCTTTTTGCTTATGTGGTGCTGAGGAATTGAACCCAGGGCCTCAGGCATGCAAGGCAAGCGCTCTACCACTGAGTCACCTTCCCAGGCCCAGATCAATTTTTTTAAAGGTTATAGAATCTACATATAGTTCTACAGATTTATTTGTGAAGATAAATTATGCCATAATGCTTCTAATACCAGGCCATGTTAGAGTCTTAACACATTGGGAAATGGAAAATTTTCTTGAGCCCCTCTGGGAACTTATCTTTGAGCATGTCTTCATCCCAATAATCTTGTTTTTCTTAATGTATGGAAACTGAAGCAACCATGTTGGAGATGATATTTTTATCATTCTAAAATAAGCATTTTTGAGGCTTCATTGTTACCTGGGGGAAAACAGATAACGATACATATTGGAGGAAAAGCACTGTCAGATCCCTGCCCCCAACCATCGCTCTACAGAGCTGCGCGCTGCAGTCGGACCTGCTCTGAAACCTGAGTGAAATTGATCGAGTGATTGAATACAGGCAATGAAATGACCTGAATAACTCAATTTCTTGCTAGTAAATTAATCTTGGATGGTATCAGGGAAAAGACACCTTTGAAAACAACTAATTTGGCTTGACATTGTTCCTTTAAAGGTTTAATAAATAATTGACTGTTATAGGCATGTGGAGGCAGCTGCATTTTAATTATACTTCCCTGGTAGAAGTCACCATCTTGAAAAGAGCACAATACAATACATTAGGAATTTTACATGGACTTCAGCTATTGATGGACCGGTAAGTGTTCAGCCACAGTTCACCTTAACCAGATCTTTAGGGAAATTGTTAGATGGTAGAGAACCAGTGGACTGACAGAAAGATTAGTTTGACTCATAATTACTATACAAGGCAAGATGGTATTGGTAAAGCCAACAACAGTTGAATGGCAGATATAGTAGTGAGTAGGGTTTGTCACATGATTCTCACATCCTGGTACATATTTGAGCATTAGTAAACTTGGAATTGAATAAACTGAAAGGGTCTTCCCAAAATAACTGAAGATGGCTGAGTGCTGGTAGCCCTAGCTACTCATGAGGCTGAGGCCTGAGGATCAAGGTTCAAAGCCAGTCCAGGAAGGAAAATCCATGAGACTCTTATCTCCATTTAACCACCAAAAAGCTGGAAGCAGAGCTGTGGCTCAAGTGGTAGAGTATTAGCCTTGAGCAAAACAACTAGGGAACACACACACACACACACACACACACACACACACGCACACACACGCACACACACACACACACACACACACACACCCCAAAGAAGTAAAAAACTGAAGGTAAGGGTTTTTAAATGTGACTTCTTGCCAGTACAATCTGTTGTGTATAGTAGAGTCTTGGTTTTTAATAATGAATGTCTTTTTCCCCTTGGCAGGTTCATATAAGTACCACTGGGTTAATTGTGACCCCACCCCCAAGCAGCCCAGTGACCACCGGTCCCGCGTTCACTTTCCCATCAGATGTTTCCTACCAGGCCGCCCTTGGAGTAAGTGTAGTTTCTGTCTGTTATTTCTCTTTGAAGTGTTTACTTATATTAATCTGGCACATGCTACTTCCTCACACCTGTAGTTTACATTGAGACTTCTAAGTGGGATGGCTCTCTATCTTTCATCTATTATTGATGCTAATCTTACCAAGAAAATAAATAAATAAATAACATGAGGCAGTCTCTGGCCTGCAGCCTGCAGGATTTTTTTTTTAATTTTTTTTTTTTATTGTGAAAATACTGTACAGAGGGGTTACAATTACATGGGCAAGATAGTGTGTACATTTCTTATCAAGCATTGTAGCCTCCTCCTTTGTTTCCCCTTCCCATCCCTTCCCATCCTCCCACCCCACCCCCGCCCCCCTACCCAATCCTCCCCGCTCTCCCCCCCTCCCCCCTACCCTCTGCACCAAAGTTGTAAAGTTCATTGTTCGACATAACGACTTGTACATCTCATTGTTGCAATGGGTCCACCTGTATCCCTATTTAAACGATTTGTTTTTCCCCTTCCCCTCCACAAATTATACCAACATCAAATACAGTGAAAGCAGGGGTCATACTGTGGGGTAGGGACATACAAAGCAACAAAGAAATAATCTTATAAATGTGTTAGAAACAATCGCATGAAAGAAAAAAAACATTTGAATACAAGTCTGCAGGAATTTTAACAGTGAGAATCAGTAGCCTGAAGCTTTAAGAAGAATTCTGGAAAAACTACGTTTCATTTTATTACAGCGCAACTCGATTTCCTGAAGGCTTAACCTTTATATCTTTGGAGTTTCTAGATCCTGCTTATTTCTTTTAAAGGCACATTTATAGAAATACTGGGAGAAAAAGGTCTCAGAGGCAAAGTGGCATGCTTTAAGTCATACAGCATGCCGATTTCAAATCTCTACATTTAAGATTCATCTCTTGGGCCTGATGCTGCCTTCTAACATTTCTCATGTCTGTAATCCTACCTACTCACAAGACTGACACCTGAGGATCTTGGTTCAAAGCTACCCCAAGCAGAAAAGTCTGTGAGATGCTTATCTCCAACTCACCAGCTAAAAGCCAGAAGTGGAACTATGGCTCAAGTGGTAGAGCTCCTGCCTTGAACTAAAAATCTAAGCTAGCATATAAGGCCCTGAGTTCAAGCCCCAGTACCACACACACACACAAAATCATTTTGTTGTTGTCTTCTCTTGTTGGAGCTGGTAGTTGTATCTCTCTAAAGGTCCCTGTCATCTTGAGAGGGTTCTTTAGCTTATGGTGATTTTCCTTCTAGAAACTTTATACAGATAGAATCTAATAGAAGTCTGATGCAGGGGAAATGAACAGGAAGAGAGAGAATAGCTAAGGGAAATAAATACAATGAAGTTGGAAAGTTAAAAGGAAGAAAGAGGCCCATCGGTGCTCACACCTGTGATCCTAGCTACTCAGGAGGCTGAGATATGAGAATCATGGTTCAAAGCCAGCTTAGGAAGGAAAGTCTGTGAGAGTCTTATCTCCAGTTAACTAGTAAAAACCTGGAAATGGCGCTGTGGCTCAAAGTGGTAGAGCCTTGAACACAAAAGCTTTGGACAGCACCTAGGTCCTAAACTCAAGCCCCAGGACTGGCATGCATACACGCATGCGCACCCCTCTCCCACCTCCCAACACACACACACAAAGGAAGAAGGAAATGCAACTTTCAGCAGAGAAGAACAGCATTCCTGCTTCCTAACATTATAGGCAAGAACTGGCATTGGGCCCCATCTCTGGTTTAGGCTAATACTGTGGCTTATATTTTCAGATTTGGTTTATACTTTCCAATCCTGAGTTGAATGAGGATAGGAATCATCTTTAAATCAGATTGCCCTGGTACCTGGATGGCGAAATCACTCCACCCTACCTCCCTCACACCTGTCGCCAGCGATGATGCCCTGATGATGGTGTACAGGCCTTAGAATGAGCCAGAGCCGGGTTTGAATCCCAACACTGCCATGGAAAGTTACTCAGAGTTTCTGCTTGTGAGATGACATGATGGTGTGTCATAGAGGGAGGACATAGAGAGGGGCACGGGAGTTATTGATCCTCTTATTGATTTCTGTTGAGGACTGTTGCAAATTGGGGCTGGCCTTGGAGGGTGTAGTTGGCTTTGCTGTGGTTTTCTCTGCTCCATGTAGCAGCAGCAGTGAGGCTTTTCACAGCCAGTTTGCTTTTAGATTATGGATTTTATAGACTATACACACACACACACACACACACACACACACGTGTGCACACACGTGTGTGTGTGTGTGTGTGTGTGTGTGTGTGTGTGTGTATGGTAAAGATTACATTTACCTCTGTGAGACTGGTTAGAGCCCCTCCAGCAGAGACTTCACCCCATACCAGTCAAAATGTTACCTTTGCCAGGCACTGGTAATTCTAGCTACTCAAAAGGCTGAGATTTGAGGATTGTGGTTCAAAGCCAGCCCAGGCAGGAAAAGTCCATAAGACTCTTATCTCCAATAAACCACCAGAAAACCAGAAGTGGTGCTGTGGCTCAAGTGGTAGAGCGCTCGCCTTGAGCTGAAGAGCTGAGGGACAGCGCCCAGGCCCAGAGTTCAAGCCCCACAACTGATAAAAAAAAAAAAAAAAAAAATGTTGGCTTCATCTAGTTTCATTGTCTTCAGTTTCTGTTTGCTTCATTTTTCTTACTTAGTGTCTTTGTCTTGAGATTTTTTTATAAATAATTAAAAACTGATTTTGAGACAAGGTAGGGTATAAAGAAATTTACAGTTATTACTTAGCTTAGGCTTTTTATAGAGTTAAACATGCTCTTGTAGTTGAAGGGAAGTTAATAATGTTCTGGGTTTTGAGTTTTTTTTTTTTTTTTTTTTTGAGAGACTGGGTAATATTCCCTGAATGACCATCATTTCCTTGACAATACAAGGGAGGAGAAGTTGCCTTGACTCATCTGGAGAAGATGAATTTCAGCTAATATTTATTAAATGTGGTTTCCATGAGGTTCTATTAGCCCCGGATGTCTGACTGGAGCCAGATTTCCTAACGATCCTGCCCTCCAATCTCCATGGGAGACTTTCCCCTTTCTTTCCCACCCCCAGTATGCACACACAGCCCCTTGCTCTTTCCATTTCCAGATGACTACCTTGCATGGAAAAATTCTAACTTGATTTCTTAAGGGGAAAAAGAAGACGGACTTTTCTGATCTTCCAGAAATTAATTAGTGGAAAAGGCATAAGGCTGGCTGAGTTTCAGCCCTGGTGAACCAAAAATTTTACAGTGTAGTAAATGGCCAATTCTTTTAGTCAACTCTGGGGCAAATCAATGGGATGGGTCACAGGAGAGCCTGAATATATAAAAATTAATTTATGTTGAACCATTTTATCTGAGGATTATATAAGAAAACCTGCATATTAAGCAAGAGAAAGCTTTATTAAACCGTGTGTCTGCCATGCCAATTCCGTTTAATGAAAAAGTAATTATAAACAGACTTGTCCATCATCCCAGTAGAGGTGTAGATCTCAAAGTCCCTATTCGTTTGGTAGAAATGGTTTGGACTTCATATGATTGGTGTAAGTAGAAAAATCTCAATACCATGCACTCTATGCCTTGTACATTTATTGTGGCAAGTATTCTAATGAAATCTGAAACATCGTTGAAGAATTTGAGGTCTATCTTAGCAGTAGTATGTAGTTTGGTAGAAAAGTGACCAGGTGTTTTATGGTCTGCATTTATGGATAACAAAGAACCACCACTAGAAAAGGAAGTAAAAATTATTTCCAATGCCTTCGATAAAGTGAGATTTATAATCCTTTTGTCATTATTGACTGGTTTTATGGGATGAGAAGGGTGAAGATATTAGTTTTGTTTCCTCTGTACAATTCAGAAAGCTTCTGGAACAAGTGATTTCCAGTCCCTTGATACTCTACACCAGGGTTCAGCTGGCTGGAAATTGGGCAGAAGGTAGCCAATGCCTTAAAGGCCAAATACCACCCATGGCTAACTTATGAGCAGGTTTCACTCCAAAAGTATGTAGACAATTTAAAATCTTTATACGCATACATGTGCGTACACACCCACACATGTGTTTAAAGAAATGTTCAATGATGTCAGGTCTCCGAATAGCCAATATTTAGTCTGTTGTAGCCATGGTGGAGGCTAAGCAGAGCCTATTTCTGTGAACAGGAAGAAGAGGGCAGGGCTTTGGAAATAGGGGATAGAGGCCACAGCCTCTGTAGTTGAGGAGGGAGAAGTTGGAACCTTTGCAAACCATAAGAGTTCTAAAGTCAGAATGAAGGCTAGCTAGGATCATGGGCAAAATGTTCGTAGCTACATCAGAAAAAGGATTCTAGGATCTCTAGAGCTGAGATTTCTGGATCATTGTCCTGTTGCTCTAAGAGGGAGGAGTTCAGAGCACAGAATGTTCTCACATTCATGAAGCACTCATTGATGAACTCTCATTTGTCTGGCTACAAAGCTCCAGGCCAGCATTAGAATGATGAGTAAGACAGTCTCTGACTTTGTAATCTTGTGAATCATAACAGTAGCTTCTATTTATTGAGTTCTTGCTCTGCTCTGGGGCACTGGTCTGAGGCCACCTACATAAACTCTTAATGATTAATTCCATCTCACAGATGGGTATACTAAAGCATAGAGACCTTACGTAATTTACACAATTAGCTACTGTAGAAATCTTTCTCTTTCTTATAGATGAAACGTGGAGCAGTAAATTACAGTGTATGCCTACAGACAACAATGCTGTTGAAACTGGCCACACTGTCGACTTGGGGGAGCATTTTATATTCAACCAGCCCCTCATTGACCAATTTATCTATGTCCAAGTTCAGTCCACAGAAAGACCGTTGAGAAATGTTGGTGTATATAGATGAAAGGGGACTGATTGGAAATCAAGAGTTTAGAAAGAAATGATAACAAGATTGGAAGATATTAAATAGTATTTGTCTAAGACCCATTTTCTCCCCAGGGAAGTGTGTGATTGGGGATGCACACTGGAGAGACAGTCAGAAAGGAAATGAGCCTTTGTTCATTTGAAGTTAAACTTGTGCTTAAAATTCCAATGCAAAGCACTTTACTAGTAGGCTGGCCTTTGGTCCATAGCCCAGGTATGAGAGCAACTGGCGTGTTTCCATCCTTCCTTAGCCAGAGCCAGATCTAACTGTTCTCTGGGCTGGAGGAGGAAATGGTACCAGAGAGGAAGATGGTGTCCAAACCCATGTTCTTAAACCTGGATTTGAGCAATGTCCACTAGCACACGTGGCCTGTCAACTGTCCAGCAGTACAGTCTCCCTGAGAACACTGTGGCTGTTCACTCACTGTAGCAAAGGAGTCTGCCCGAAGGGTCAGGGTGGGAATGTGTCCTCTTTCCTGTCTTCATCAAGGCAGATCAGGGGCTCAGAGGGAATCGAACTTGAACACGTGAAGAGATGGCCACTTGACAAAAACAAACCACTCCTAAAGAAAATGGGCCCTGTTCATAGCACCTGTGAATGTTATAGCATCCTGGTGCTGGGCAGGCCCAGACTGTACTAAATAGGCAGGTCTCCTGGTCAACTCCCTGGTGAAGGAAAGAAAGGCTGGCTGTGCTTTCTGCGCTATAGAAATTTCAGGTCTTGCCGGATAACAGACTGCCTGCTGCACAATGACTGTGGATTACCTTTTGAACTTCCACATCACCAGATTCTTTCAGTTCAACGTGTTTACAAAGCAACCCACAGAATTTCCTAGCGTGTCAGAGCCCTGGACTCAGCAGAGTCCTCCCATTTTACCAACCACGTAGGACCTAACAGCATCTAGCAATCTGATTTTAATCAGGCTTTCTCTTTGTCTTTTGCACATTTATTCTGTAGGGGGGGGGATATCTACCCAGTTTTATTTAGACTATCTTTTGTTTCAATCACAAAAGGAGATAATTGAAAGGGTGTTTTCTTCTTAGACACAAGCTTTGAGATCTTTCAGAATATCTTCCTTCTGCCATATCTCAGCCCCTAACTCTTCTCTTTGCTTGAGTGATGTGCACAAAGCTTTGCTTACTGTATTTACTGTAACGATAAGAAGTGACCTTTATCCTTTACATGTTGTTAAAATTGGCATATGTTTTTTTATCGGGACCAGAGATGCTTTTTGCCTTTTTAGTTCAGTTCAATTTAGTTCAGTTTCTTTTCCGTAAAGCCAAGACATACTTGATAATTTTAATTTCCTGTGAGCACATGCCATTTGTCTTCCGCCTTTTCACAGCTACACCTCTTTGAGATCAGGCTTAGAAAGACTGGAATGGAAATCAGTCAAGTGGGAATTTCACAGTTTCTCCATGTATTACTCTGCGTACATTTAGACGTGTTATCTCACCTGTCAGGCAGCTGATGCATTATTCTCTTGGAACCTCTCAGGTCCCATTTGCTGACTGTTCTGCCGGGATTATCTTTATTTCTCTCTACTTTGTCACTGGAAGGAGGCCAAGCACAATGAATGTTTGACCTTCCCCTTCTTCTGCAAGTCTAGATCGTGCAAATTCCAGAGCTGTCCCAGATCTTAAGGCTGCATGTTTGGTATGGAAGAGTGTGAGTGACTTTTTCCAGGATGTTCTCAACTTTTTGAACAGACCTCTGCTGTGTCCGGTTAGCACCCAGTAAAGCAGCATACGCCTCATTTCCTTCCATACTAAATGCTCTCTCACAGCGTGGGAAAAACAAGTTCTTGCCCAAAGTCACACTGGCAAATGATTAAATATGTCAGTCACAAAATAGATGTCTAGAAACTGGAACCCTGTACCCCCCAAAAAACAACAACAACAACAACAACAACACTTGAAATGACTTATGGGCTATGTTTAGAAATCATTTGGTGTTTTACTCATTAATATGCTGACGTGTAGAAACCATTTCTGCTCCCTAGGTGTGTTCTCTTTAGTCCTCTTATTTCTCCTTTGATTCAACTTTTATATCTAGTGGTTCAAAGATTTGGGGGAGGGCCGAGATGGGGGGTTCATACAATCTTTTTGTGCCTGTTTTCCCAGGAGTTTCTGTATACAGACCATAAAGAATGATCTGGGGATTATAGAGGAGAAGGTAACAATTGCTCCATTGATTTTCAAAGGCACGGAATCCTGTAGGCAGACCCCATTAGGCCATGCCCATAAAGAAACCAGCGGCTTTTCACTAGGGTACTTGTTAAAGATTACCAGCCTTGATAGTCCTAAATTTCAAAAGCTGGCAACGTTAAGAGTAAGGCAAAGTAGCAACAATAGCCTGGTGACTGTGGCTGGCTATTGTTGGGCTTTTTGGAGACCAAGCATCAAAAGAAAATTGTCTTCCAAAGGATTGGTTTGAGATATGCTGCAGCTGAATTGTTCTGGGTTGTGTTTGAAACAATCACAAATTAGTCCTTAGCAAGCAGCATGATTTATAGCGGCCTTCTCAAAGGCATATGAGTTCTTCCAAATCTGTACTTTAAGGTGTTCTTAATCTTATAATTAGAAGCAATTAATTTTTTTTCTTTTCCCTTTTCTCAGTGGTGATTATGTACCTGTTTACTGAAAAGATGAATTTTTAAAGGGGGAATTTCTCTTTTCTTTTTCTTTTTTTGTGCCAGTACTCAGACTTGCACTCAGGGCCTTGTGCTTGTGTTCTTGGATTTTTGTTGTTTTGGGGTTTGTTTTTTGTTGTTGTTGTTGTTCAAGACTAGTGCTCTACCCCTTGACCAGCCTTAGTATCATAGTAGTTGATTGGTGATAAGAGTCTCTTGACTTTATCTGGCAAGGCTGGCTTTGAATGAAGATTCTCAGATCTCAACCTGCTGAATTGCTAACATATAGGTTTGAGCCTTGGGCACCCATCTGAAAGGTGGAACTTTCATAGGAAAGAGTCTGCAGGTTCTGTGCTGGGTAAATTCTATGAACATCTCCTGTGGATTTCCGTTCCACATGACAGGGAGGACTTAAATAAATAACTTGTTCCTTTCTCTATCATTTCTCTATACCAGACTATGAATCCGCCTCTTCCTCCACCCCCTCTCCTGGCTGCCACTGTCCTGGCCTCTACACCACCGGGCTCTGCTGCTGCCGCCGCTGCTACTGGAGTGGGACCAAGGCCTGGGACGGGATCCACTGACCAGATTGCACATTTACGGCCTCAGAGCCGCCCCAGCGTGTAAGTGAGGACACCTTCTACGACTGCTTAAGCCTTTGTAGACAACTAACACCCAACAGCACCTAGAGAAGCATTTTTCTGGTTGGAACTAGGGACAGGCCCTGGCTCACTGAGTGGTTTGTGTTCTGCAAACCTCTACCCAGCAGTACCTGTAATTAAGAAACTGCTGAAACCACGTGCGCTTGCCAGGTAGCTGTCCTGCTGAGCAAAGGCCTTTTAGAGTTCAAGGAAACCCACTGTTTGCTTCTTGATAACAGTGGATGTATACGGGATTGCCCCCCCCCTTTTTTTTTTTGGGGTCCGGTCGTGGGGCCTGAACTCTGGGCCTGGGCGCTGTCCCTCAGCTCTTCAGCTCAAGGCTAGCGCTCTACAACTTGAGCCACAGTGCCACTTCCGGCTTTTTTTTGTTTATGTGGTGCTAAGGAATCAAACCCAGGGCCTCAGGCATGCAAGGCAAGCGCTCTACCACTGAGCCACCTTCCCAGCCCCTGCCCCCCTTTTTTTTGCAGGCTTTGTTTTCTTTCTTGCTGGCAGCATGTTAAGGAATTGGAAGATATTTCACAAAAATCAGATCTAGCTGGAGTTTGCATATAAAAAGCTATAAGTCATCTGGGCACCGGTGGAATGTGCCTATGATCCTAGCTACTTAGGAGGCTGAGATCTGAGGATTACAGTTCAGTCAGCCCTGGCAGGCAAATTCATGAGGCTCAAGTGGTAGAGCACCAACCTGGAGCAGACAAAGCTAAGCAAGACTTCAAGGACCTGAGTTCAAGCCCTAGGATGGGCACCAAAACAAAACAAAACAAAAAACAACCCTGCAAGTCCCCAGCAATAGACATCCAGAAAGATCAAATTATCCTGTGCAGTGTTTACTGACTGCAGAATGCAACAGAATGTCACCTGCATGGTATGCATTTATACCCAAACAATTCAGAGTGCTAATGGTGAAGAACTCCAGGTTTCTTCCCTGGTTTCTGTGTGGGGCTTGGCCCAGTTACTTTGCATTGTGGAGTTGTTTCGTTCTCTCTGTAGCCCACACTTTGCTTTCCTTTGATGTTCTTCAACCTGCTTCCTGGCTGAGCAAACAGAAGAAGGTACAGCCCAAGCCTCTAAGTTCTACTTGTGTGAGGAAGACCAGTCTATAGGCATCTCAGTGGGATTTTATACCTTTTGTCAGCATGTGGAGGCTACTTCCCTAGTTGAATGAGTGCCATTTGGGAAACCGTGTTCCCAGTGGACTTCTAATGTGTGAGAGCAGTGTGGACACTCTGGGAAAACTGCATTAATCCTTCAACACAAATACCATTTGGTGGGACTGTCTCTACCACACTGGCAGGAAGAGCTTTAGCAGTTTTTAATATGCTAAAAAGCATAGACAGCAAGACCTCTTTCATAGGAGACTTGCCAATTGGACTTTACAGGTTAAAAGATTTTACTTTCTTTTTGTTTTTGTTGGTACTGGCACTTGAACTCAGGGCCTCAGGGCTCCCTTGCTTGGCTTATTTTGCTCAAGGCCAGTGCTCTACCACTTGAACCACACTTGTACTTCCAGGTTTTGGCTGGTTAATTGAAGATAAGACTCTCACTGACTTTCTACCCAGCTGGCTTCAAACTCTGATCCTTAGATCACAGCCTTTTGAGTAGCTAGGATTATTGGCATGAGACCAGCCCTTGGAAGTGTTTACTTTCTGGGTACATTTGTGCAAACTGTTTTAAGACTTTGTACCAAGCAAGAGTTTTGAGTAGATTGAGATTTTGTTTGTCAGCCTGGAATCAAATAGCTTTCTCCATTCTAGGTATGTTGCTATATATCCATACACTCCCCGGAAGGAGGATGAACTAGAGCTGAGAAAAGGGGAGATGTTTTTGGTGTTTGAACGTTGCCAGGATGGCTGGTTCAAAGGGACATCGATGCATACCAGCAAGATTGGAGTTTTCCCTGGCAATTATGTGGCACCAGTCACAAGGTATGGTTGTGAATAAATTGTTTACTAAGTGCTAAACACAGACGCTTGATTCTTTTTTTTTTTCTTCAGGATTTCCAGCCTGTTCAGATTCCTTCTTGCATTTTAATTGCCTGTTCTAAAGCCAAAGCTTATAAAATCCACATCTATTTCTGCTAAAATCCCTTCCAACACTAAGATTCTTAGCTTACTTCTCCCATGGGTATGTGTTGAAATTATAGGTTTCCACCAATGAATGTCTCGGGTTATGAGCTACTTGCTTTAATTTATATGTGGGAAGGCTCAGCTCTACCATTTTCAGCATTTTCCTCCTGGAAAATAAAAGGCACGATATTTAAAATAAATTAAAGCAGCATTGTTAATACCTATATGTCTGCAGAATGCCTGCTCTTCACCAGACAGGCAGATTTCTAACCGTATTAACTCTTTGTCCTTAACCGATTGGTGTCATATCTGTTATTCACAGATGAGGAAATTTAGGGACAGGGACATTTGACTAACCTGTCTGAGGTCACAGTGAGGAAGTGTTCTCACTTATGTGGTCTAGATCTGTAGTTATTCCATTAGCTTGGTGGTCACAGAATTGACCTGAAAATTCTGGCAATTAATATCTATAAAGTAGAAATATAGAATAGAAAGAAATAAAATAAATAGAAAATAAATAGAATAGTGGATATAATAGATGGAATAAAATAAAAAAGATACCTAAATTCATTATATATAGAACAGATCTATTTTAAATGAGGACAGTTTCATTCCCAAGGGACATTTAGTGACATCTGGACATATTTCTGATTGTCACATCTTGGGGAGTTGGGAGTGTGCCTTTAGCATATCATGCATTGGAAACCAGGGGTGCTGCTAAATCCTGCAATACACAGACAGCCCCCACAAAAGAATCCTCTGGCCCCCCAAAGATCACTGAATTTGAGAATCCATGTAGAGTGATAGGCACTTCCTAAAATATGCTTCCACAAAATATTACGTTTCTATAATAATAAATAGTTTTCTTTTTTAAAAGACAGTGTATCTTCTGGTCACAGGACAAAGTAAATGTCAGAAACTGAAAGAAATAACCTATAATAAACTGAATACTGGGAAATCCTGGCTTTGACCACTGGGTTCTTTAAGAAATGGCTCAGGTTTAGCTGTGTTCAATCACTGCTCAACCCTCTTGATTTTAGACAAATGGCTTAATGAACTGACATGTTTGTCAGCTGTTGCCCTTGATTTATAGGTTGGCCAGCAGCCTAATCAAATGAAAATCACTATCGTTGCAGATGGTGGCAGACTGTTAGCTTTAATTTGACTTGCAAATTTTTAATCAATATCAACCTTTTCTGTACTTGTTAAATTCTACATTCAGGATTCAACCCACCCAGAAAATGGCAGATAGGATCTCCCTGGTGCAAAATAACAATAATAATTAAAAATAATTTAAAAAATAAGGGAAATACAAGAAACAGCAATAAAAAAATTGAAGTTAATGAAGAAAGACACTTTTTACAAGGTTCGAAAACAAATGATTAAAAACCTCTGCTTGTTTAACTCTGGAGAAATGCTTGCTTACAGCAAATGAATGTTCTGTTATTCATCATTGTAAACAATAAGGATATTTGAGTTAATGAAGTATTCTACCTAGTAGAAAATCGGCCATGTTCCAAATTGTCATCATTTCAATGAATTTAACATATCAAAAAATACACTACACAATAGTCTGTACTTAATTAAGTTCAGTCTGTAAGTAAAGGTTGAGAGCTGGTCTGTACCTTTACTGCTGTGCAGACGGTGGAGGAATAAAAAAGAACCATTTATTTACATGAGCCCTCTTTTCATTGATTCAATCTTAGGTCATCAGTATTTCATGTGGAATTTATTTTTTAAAAGACGCCACATTTTTGTAATCAAGGGTTGAAATATAAAGACACAATGAAGGCCAGGATCTACATGAATTGTGTAGAATCCTAAGGTCTCACACTTGAACTTGACAAGACTTCTTGAAATGCTCGGATTTGTACTGGATCTTGAAATGTAAATATGACTGAGGTAGTTTAGGAGATGCCAGAAAGGATATTTTTTTTGGGGGGGGGAGGCGATGAGGAGGGAGAACTAGAGTAAGGGAGAGGGAGGCTCTGTGTGTGTGTGTGTGTGTGTGTGTGTGTGTGTGTGTGTGTGTGTGTGTGTGCGCGCGCATGTGCACTATGTTTATTGGCACTGGTGGCAATATGTTAGAGACAAGTAGAGAGAAGACAAACAGGAATGAAACTATGGCAATGTGAAGACCACAAGGGAATAAACATTATTTAGGCCCAAGAGAATCCAGGGCCTCGGAGGTTAGTAGAGGCCTGGCCTCCAAATGAAAGGCTAAACCCACTACCAACTGTGTATATATATATATATATATATATATATATATATATATATATATATATATTCTTTCTTAGGCAAAGTATGGCGTGTGGTTTCTGGTGAGTCAGAACAATTTCAAGACCTTTCTCTGAGCCAGGGCCATCATTTCTTTGAATCTGCTCTTCTTAAAACCTATGAAAAATTGCATTCATTTAATTAAAATAATTCTGTAAGCAGGTACCGGTGGCTTACACCTGTAATCCTAGCTACTCAGGAGGCTGAGATCTGAGGATTGCGGTTCAAAGCTAGCCCAAGCAGGAAAGTCCGTGAGACTCTTGTCTCCAATTAGTCACAGAAAAGCCAGAAGTGTCACTGTGGCTCAAGTGGTAGAGTGTTAGCCTTGAGCAAAATAGAGCTCAAGGACAGCACCCAAACCCAGGAGTTTGAGTCCCAGGACCTGCCCCCCGCCAAAAATAAATTCTGTCTTTAATATCTTTGAGTCATTTTTCTTGTATATAATTGTTCTGTTCTCTTCTTTTGCTGATAGATTCGGTTTTCCATCTGTTTCTGTTTTAGCAGGACGGTGACAAATGCTTCTCAAGCTAAAGTCCCTGTGTCTACTGCGGGACAGACGAGTCGAGTGGTGACCATGGTCAGCCCTTCTAGTGCAGGAGCGCCTGCCCCAAAGCTCCAGGGAAATGGTGTGGCTGGCAGTCCCAGTGTGGTTCCCACGGCCGTGGTGTCAGCAGCTCACATCCAGACGAGTCCTCAAGCTAAAGTCCTGTTGCAGATGACTGGGCAGATGACCGTCAACCAAGCCCGCAATGCTGTGAGGACAGGTAGGAAGGAAACTGTAAGAGAATAACATTGAGGGAAAGGGTTTGCCTGCTTAAGAGAAGATCACTTAGGCCCGATGTTTAGGGAACTAGATACGCCATTCAAATAATGAATGACATTAGGAAACAGAAGCAGGCACAATCCAGTCCCAGGTTCTGACATCGTTTCATCGCTGTGGCCACATCTCAAAGGAACAATCTAAAAAGAAGATAGATTCATTTTGGCTCATGATTTCAGAGGTTCTCAGACCATGCTGGTTGATTGCTGGGACTTGTGGCAGAAAAGATGTAGGAGCAGAATTGCTCACTTTATGACATCCAGAAAACATACCCTTCAAAGACACGCCCCCATTGATGACATTAATATACTCAAGAGCCAATCAGCTGTCACTAGCACCACGGGGGGGGGGGGGGGGGGGGGGGGGGCAAACCTTCCATAACAGGCACTCTCAACTGTTCATTTGGGCTAAGCCTTCCTTTTACGTTGATTCAGGATGCACCTAGCGATCAAAAACCGGGAAGAAAGAAATTAGGCCAAAGTGAAGACTGTCAACAGTGTCGTATTTTAAATCAGGCCTTCTATAGTCCAGACATGCATGGTCTCAGATTTCACTGTTCCTAGCACGTGACTATTGTGATTTTCTACTAGGATGTGGTGCATGTCATCCCAGCTCTGTTTTAGATCCAGTGGGATCTTAGATCACTAAGTCCTGTAGCATTAAAAACCTACCATAAGTCTTGGCAGCATAAAGACTAGTGACTTCTGTGAAAGAAAAAGAAAGATGGTTAATAGGTGAAGGAAACAGATGCCAGCTGTGTGGTTTGGCACTTTTCAAAATTGGCCCTGTATCTCTGATACTATGGATCACTATTCTTTGTAACTAAAGGGTCCTGGGGTTATAGCTGAGCTTCTAGCTCTGACCTAGAAGGTTAGTAGATCCAGGAATCCAATCATGACTTACCTAAGTACACCAGAATCCCACTATACCCCTTCTCTATTAGAATAAATGGCAGTAGCAGCCTTTGGTTATGGTCTGATGGGATGCAGTGAGCATCTTGCTGAGCAGTATTTGGCAGGAAGCTGACTTTTGCTCTGTTCCCTCTTGTCCTCCGCTAGTGGCAGCACATAACCAAGAGCGGCCCACGGCAGCGGTGACACCCATCCAGGTTCAGAACACCACCTGCCTGGGCCTTGCAACTGTGGGCCTGCCTCATCATTCGCTGGCCTCCCCACAGCCTCTGCCTGCTATGGCAGGTGCTGCTGCTGCTGCTGCTGCGGGCAGTATCAGTAGAGCCAGCGCCCCTCTGGCCTCCTCGAGCATCACCGCTGCCTCCCTGGAAACGGAACCCAGTGGCCGGATGGTGACCATTCTCCCTGGATTGCCCACATCTCCCGACAACGTTTCCTCGGCTTGTGGGAACAGTTCCACAAGCAAGCCAGACAAGGACAGTAAAGTAAGTCCCATTTCCAGCTTCTTGGCTAAGGTCATGTCCCACAGTTTCTAACTAATGAAAGGATTCATTGTTCTACAATCCTTTAGGTGCTTACCACGGGTGTATCATGGTGCCAGGTGTGCCAGGGGAGGAAACAGGGGCACCGCCTTGCCCTCTTTTCTCCACCTTGTATTTGTCTGCATTTCACCATCACCAGTTGACAGGCTGTGTGTTGAGGGGTAGGGAGACCACAGTGAGACTTAGGCACCTCTCCTCTTGTAGCCCAGTCTACGTGGAGGAAGTGCCTTTCCCCTGCAGATACTCCTTTCTTCTCTATTTCTTTGTCCTCTAATTGCCCTGATTGTTTGGTCATGTTTGTGGACAGTTCTGTGTAAAAACAATCACAGCTGGGCATGAGTGACTCACACCTGTAATCCTACCTTACTCAGGAGGCTGAGATCCGAGGATCAGGGTTCGAAGCCAGCCTAGGCAGAAAAGTCCAAGCACTCTTTATCTCCTCTTTACCAGCAAAAAGCCAGAAGTGGAGATGTGGCTCAAGTTGTAGAGTACCAGCTTTGAATGAGTAAAGCTAAGAAAAAGGGCTTTAAAGCCCTGAGTTTAAACTCCAGGGCTAGCAAAAATAACAACAACAATTATTACTGTTTTATGAGGGGTTTGAAATTGTTCAGTAAAAGTGTTCCTTGTGATTTTAATTCATCTGTAGTACACCCAATCATACTTACTATGTTTTCTTAAGAGATGGCCTCTGACATCTGGGAAGAAAAAAAAATATTTTCTAAGTCCATAACCTGTTTTAACCTATTTTAAAGTCTCTCGTTTGGAGCTGAATTGTAAAGAAAGAAGTTGTTTAGAAGATTCACCTTTGGTTGGGTTTCAAGACCTCTGGTCGGAGAGAAGAGAAATAGGAGTTGCTAATGTGAAAAAGAAGGGCTCACTCTCCCCTGCCTGCCCCTGGAACTCTGGCAGCTCTGGACAGGTCTAGGGTAGCTCTAGCGTAATCATAAGCTCACGGCCACCTGGCTCAATGGCACTGTATGTTGCTATATTTAAATAGTTAGGGAAGCCTGTGACTAGGAGTTTATAAGGAAATCAACTTTACAGCCTACTAAAATGTTAATATTTAATTAACTTTTAACATGAAAAGTTTTGGAGAATGATTTCTATCTGCTCAGTGTTTATAATTAACTCAGTGTTCATAATTAACTACATGAAACTTGTATTTAAACTGGTATCCAGCTTTGTTAATATCATTAATACAATTGTTTTTAATAGATTTTTTTGTATGTGTGCTGGTTCTGGGGCTTGAACTCAGGGCCTGAGCACTGTATCTGAGCTTTTTGTTCAAAGCTAGTGCTCTACCACTTAAGCCACAGCAACACTTCTGGCTTTTTTGGTGCTTAATTGGAAGTATCTCCTAGACTTTCTCACCCAGGCTGGCTTTGAACCATGATCCTCAGATCTCAGCCTCCTGAGTAGCTAGGATTACAGGCAAGAACTACCAGTGCCCAGCTTATAGTTTAGATTTTAATGCTTGGGCTCATATGTCTCCTGTCCTTTATATTCCCAGTAACAGAATTAATTAAATCTTTGAGGCTTGAAAGACATAATGAATAGATCTTCAAAGATTCTACCACCATATCTTTGGAACCTTTTAAATATGTTTATTTACTTGTAAAAAGGGCTTTGTAGATATGATTAAAGAGTCCTATGATAAGGGGAATTCTTGTTTTGTGGGCAACCCAACGTTAGGGACATGGATCTTCCAGAAGACAAGGCAGGAGGGTCTGACAAGACAAAAAAAAAAATGTGGTGAAACAGAGCTGGAAATGCTGTGAAAAGGGGCAAGAGTTTAGAGAAAGACAGGAAATAAGTTCTTCCCTACATTGCCCAGAAGGAATGTGACCCTGCCAACCCTTTGAGTTTTTAGAGTCTGACTCTATGGATTTGGTACCTCTCAGCTAGGACTGTAAGTTAACAATGCTCCATCTCGGACAAATGGCCACTGGCCATAGAGGTGCCAATGCTGTATGTGCGCTAGCTCAGGACGGTCCCTTGCTGTCTTTATACAGCTCACTTACACATAGAAAATATTTTCTCTATACGTTGCTCAGCTGCCCAGCTGGCCCCTCTTTTACTTTTTTTTTTTTGAAGGTTGTACTTGAAGTTGCTTTTATCTGTTCCTCAAATCCTTTCTTAAATGTTCTCCCTCAGTGTTCTAAGCCCATTCAAGAGGTTTTTACTTAATCCAGTCACTCCATGATGATCATCACTCATCACGAATCCTCATGACTGGTGTCCTTTGGGCCATATTCCTCTGTCTTGTTTGCAAGAGAATTATGAGAATTATGACGCCGTATTGAGAGCTTAATGTCCATCACATGTTCTCATCCAAATAGCCACCCCATCACCCTTGCAGTTACTTATTAGTAGCAGTATCTCAGGAAGAGTCTGCTTCTCAGAGTCATCCTTTCCTTTTCTAAATACTCTTAAACCTTTTACTCAATAGCGTTTCCCAGAAACTGGGACTTTGCCTGTACTGATCTTTGCCTGTGGAATCAATCCTGACCTCAGGTTCATCAGAAACTCTCAAAGATTATGGGTTACATTTCGGATGTTCACTTTCTTATATACTGACTTGAGTTCAGCCTGTCAAAAGAGTATTCATTAGATCTCTAAATCCCATTCTCTTCATTTCCTTCACATCAAGATTTGTTCTTCCTGTTGGAGCCGTGGCTCAAGCCTATGATCGTAACTACTCAGAAGGCTGAGATCCGAGGATTGTGGTTTGAAGCTAGATTGGGCAGGAAGGCCTATGATACTCTAATTAAACACCAAAAGCTGGACATGGGGGTATGGCTCAAGTGGTAGAGCACTAGCCTTGAGCAGAAAAGGCTAAGGGACAGCTCCCATGCCCTGAGTTCAAGCCACAGTAGTAACACTAAAAAGAACAAAGAAAACAAGATTCACTTTTCCTTTCTAGTATAAAGATTATCCCTCCCTTTCTTCTCTTCATTCTTTCCAGCTGGGACCACTATACAGCCCTGACAGCAGGCTTGTGTCTTTCTTATTCTTTTGGATTCAGATATGATTTAAAATAGCTCCTTTTTCCCCCCTTTCATTAGCATTTTGACTAGTTTAAGCTCATCAGATCTTTGGTGCCTTCTTGAATGGGCCAGGATCCCGTTCTTTATTATGTTCTTGATCTTTTTGTACGGGCCTTCTAAAAGCATTAGCTAGCTCCCTGGGGGAGAAGTACCTTTAAGCATGTCTACTTTTTCATCTTCAGGGATAATTTGCAATTGTATGAGCAAGAGTTCATTTTTCACTGTCCTCCCGTTCTTCGGAAAGCATCTTCCCTTTTGAGTTTCATGTTCTGCGTATGTTTTCTTTGAACTTTTAAAAATCCCTTCTTTGAAACTTTAGAGATCAAATATATCACCAACTTCTTTTAAGATACTTTCTTCCAGGTTCTGGCTGTTTCTGCTTCTCAGGCCAAACGTGTCCAACCCTGTCTGGGGTCTACCTTCCTCAGTTGATTGGAATTGGATCCAGAATTGCAGTTTGCTCAGCTTTCTGTATGATTAAACCACCAGCAAGTCAAGGGAAGTATACCAGAGACTCTAATTTTGTAAAGACCTCTAGCAGAGAGTAGACACTTAACCATGCAATGCCCTCAATGCCCGGCAGCACATGCGCAGTCTCCCAAATGACAGCCCACCTACCATCTTCTCCTCCCTGTTCTCAGATGCCCTGCAGACCACTGGTGTTCCACAGAGTAACACTGTAACTGTGGAGCTCCTCTCCTCACTGGGCTATTCCTTGTGAGCAGTGCTTCATTTGGAAGTCCTGTCTCAGAGTCTCAGGGAGATCCAGGGGTCAAAAATCTCTTAACCAACGTTGGTATCTGAACTTTGTATTTGATAATATGGCATCCGGAACTCTCAATATTTTCAAATATTACCTTAGTTATTTCTTGTTTGAAATCCTGGCCTGTTCTATCATTGTGTTTCTTCATCTTATGGGATCCTTGATTTCTTCTATAACTATCAGCTTATTAGCAACTTTGTCTCTCTGGACATTTTTCTAAAAATGGACAAAAGTCGACAGTTACTGACTCAAATGCGTCATCCCTGAGCTCTGATGATTCTCGCTCTTAGGGTACCAACCTCAAGTTTTCTTAACTCTGTCAGCTAATAGTTGAGGACCTTTCTTGTTTTTCTGGATTTTTTGTTTAAGTAAAAGGTTCCACTCTGTTTTTAAATGTCCATTGTCTCCTATTCTGAACTCTTTTCCTGAACTTGTTACTGATGTTTCTTTTTTGCTCAAATGCTTTCTTTTTCTCCCAGTTCTTACTTTGCTGTCAGACACAAGATCATCGGGATGCGTTACCATTTAAGTTTTGGGGGAGAAGCCCACCCACAGTTAAGCAGCCGCAGTCATTGCTCTTGCTGAGAACTGGGATCTAGACCAGCTCTCTTCCAGTGCACATCTGCAGGGTATGGCTAAGAGAAACTTTTGTGATCCACACTGAAAGGAAAATGGTCTGGGGACTGGTGGTGTAGCTTAAAAGAGCAGAGCATGTTAAAGGCTTTGGGTTCAATCCTAAGGACCACAAAAAAAGACAGAAGGAAGAAAAGGCTAGAGGTGGGGAGGGGCAAGAAGCAGGCAAGAGAGAAAAAGAAAGGAGAAAAGAGAGGGGGAGGGAGGGAAGGAGGAAAGAAAGAAAGGAAGGAAGGAAGGAAGAAAGGAAGGAAGAAAGGAAGGAAAGAGAGAGGGAGGGAGGGAAGGGAAGGAAGGAAAGGAAGGAAGGAAGGGAGAAAGAGAGAGAGAGAGAGAGAGAGAGAGAGAAAGCTAGCACCATAATCTTAGCTGTTCACGAGGTTGAGAGCTGAGGTTGAGGATGAAGGTTTGAAGCCAGTCCAGACAGAAAACTCTAATAGACTCTTAATCTCCAGTTAGGAAGCAAAAAGCCAGAAATGAGGCTATAGCTCAAGTGGTAGAGCACCAGCTTTGACCAAAAAAGACAAACAAGAGCAAGAGGCCCTGATTTCAAGCTCCAGGACCCCCTGCTACCCCCCCCCCCCAATATAAAGAAAAAAATATGGAGGGAGGGAAAGAAGGAGGGAGATAAATAGGGATGAAGGGAATGAAAGAAAATGTCTTCTTAATATTCTACGGTAAAGGTGGCTCTGGAGAGGTTGCTTGTCTTTGGATATATGGAAGAGAAGAGCTTAGCTGCGATGAAGACCTCTGTTCCAACCTTTAGTAACCTGGTTTTAGACAAGCTTAGAGAACTTTTGGTAATGAGAATAACGAATTCCTATCTCATTGGTTTTCTAGAAGGAATAATATGGAAATCTTCCTAGTTGAATGTAACAAGCCTCTTGAAAATGATATTGTTCAGTTACCTCTAGAATTTCTCATGGTCCTTCCTAGAAGAAGCATTCCTGGCCACCAGTGTTACAGACAGAAAGAGTCTCATTTCCTCTTCTTTCCCTGCTTTATTCCTGAGCTATTTTCAGAACTTCTTAAAATTTTTTTCTGTAGTGCTAGGAATTGAACCCAGAGCCTCACGATGCTTAACATCCATGAGCTCTTACCTTTTTTTTTTTTTTTTTTTTTAACTTTATTTTATTGTCGGTCATGGACCTGAGCCCTGTCCCTCAGCTCTTCAGCTCAAGGCTAGCACTCTACCACTTGAGCCAGAGTGCCACTTCCAGTTTCTGGTGGTTTTTTTTTTTTTATTGGAGATGAGAGTTTCACAGACTTTCCTGCCCAGGCTGGCTTTGAACCGCGATCCTCAGATCTCAGCCTCCTGAGTAGCTAGGATTATAGGCGTGTGCCACCAGTGCCCAGCTTGAGCTCTTTACCTTAAAAAACAAACCAACAAAAAAACCTGCTAAACATATTTTTTCTTTTTTGTTTGAGACATAGAGTCTTGGTATAATGCTGGCTTGAATTCAATCTGTAACCCGGGCTAGCCTCAAACCCACAATCCTCCTGCCTCAGCCTGATAGGAAGCTGAGATTTGCAGGTATGTACCACTAATACCCAGCTAGAAAATATTTTGCATTCAGGGATAACCCTTGGCTTTTGTGAAGATCACTTTTTGACTCAGATCGTCTTTTTAAATATGTAATGCTATTTTAAGCCACCAAGCCTTCTAAAGACAAAATTATGATTCTAAAAACATTATTTCATCCGGGAATAATTTCTTGGGGAATCCACGGGAGATGAGTTATTCAGGTTCGTGTTAAAAGATAGGTTCCTTTTTCATGCTCACTAACGTTACTACAAAAAAAATTTTTTTGCTTGGCTAAAGAGTAGTCAGTATTAATTCCTCCATTTTCACATTGGATTTTTTTTTTAACTAAACGAAGGTGGTAAGTCTCTCTCTGGAGGCATATTGGTCTGCTAATAGAGAAAACATCAGAATATATAGTCGCACAGCTCTGTGGAAGTAGAGCTACATCTTTCCTGTGTTCACCCCCCCACACCCCTCCTTGCCCATACCCTGCCATGCTACCTAATTCTCTTCCTCTGCTCTGTGGGTAGTCAGCATCGGCTGATGGTGATAGCACATCCCTTAGAAGTCATTAAAGCGAGCTGTAGTTAATGTGTTTAATCATTTTCAATGAACTGAGTCATTTTTCTTCCTAATCACTTTAGAGACTGTTCCCTGAGCGCAATTCAGTTATCTGATATTCTTCTGAGTGCCCAGTCCTGAGCTTTTAAGCAACATCTTTAGCTGTGGCTTGCTGAGATTGTAATTTATCTGTGGACTTGATGTTCTGGGTAGATCTACAGGGGTCCAGAAATTAGAGTGTGCTTTCTTACATCATGGCGGGAGCAGCTGGAAATTGCAGCTGACTGCCACCTCAGAAGTAGAAGCGATCAGACATCATTCTTTCCCTGCTTGTTTCTTGATCCCTCCAACCTCAGACTCTACAAGAACGTGGCCATGGCATCCGGCAGTCAGGCCACTTCATTGACCATGAAAACAACAATGTTTTCTTTGCTTTTCATTTGGGAAATCCAAAACATCCCGATATATCATCCTAGCCCTAGCACTAGCTGACACCTATCCTGTCCTCTCTATTTTAATAAACGGAAGGCTTTGTACCAGGCACCAGCTAAGTTGCAGAGGTATGTATATAAGGTACAGTCATTACACTCAAATGGGTAGTTCAAGTTTGCAGGGTCGTTTATTAGAATACATATGGTAGCCCCCATAGAAAATGTGACATTGGGTGAGTGAAGCAAAACCCAATAAGATGAGCTAAGCCAGACCTTGAAGAGAAGCAAACGGATCTTCCATAGCCTAGGAGAGGTAATGAGAGGCCACTGGTGTGCTCATCTGTAGCCCAGGCCAAGCAGGGCAGAGATGACTCCCTGGTCCCCACCCACCTCTGTCCACTCCTAGTCCATTGGCTAACACATACACTGTGAGCAGTAATAAGCAAATGGAGACTCCAGTGCAATTTCCCAGGGGTGTTTGCTCATCATCTGATAAATGATTGCTTTGGTCTCTTCCTTTTTTTTTTTCTTTTTCTCTGCCATGCTGACTCTAATAGAATTGTGCTACTGCAGATGAAGAGTCATCCCCTGAAGGGGTTTTTTACTGAGTCTGAACTACTTCACAATCCCAAGAATTCCTCAGTGTTATATCTCCTGGTTGGGTCCCTGATAATTCCTTATCCCTGTTAGTGGGCTTTAACTCCAATTTTCTTATAGATCCCTAGTGGAATAGTTCTCTTTAAAAATATTGGATTTTCAGGCCATGTTTCTATACAGAGGACAATTTTTTTTTTTTTTGATTGGTCATGGGGCTTGAACTCTGGGCCCTGGTGATGTCCCTCAGCTCTACAGCTCAAGGTTAGTGCTCTACCACTTGAGCTACATTGTCACTTCTGGCTTTTTCAGTTTATGTGGTACTGGGGAATCAAACCCAGGGCCTCATGCATGCAAGGGAAGTACTCTATCACTGACCTACCTTCCCAGCCCCTTAGTGCCACAATTTTAAGATGATATTAAACCTCATGGTTAAGATGAACATGGACACTTAAAGCTTGACAAAAGAGCATTCACTGGAGCTCTAGCTTTCTTTGTGGTGTAGCAAAGATGAGTGTCAAAAGAGACAAAAACTTCAAGAGATGGCTTTTCTGGAATGAGATGACTGGGGGATTATTTATTTATTATTTATTTGTAAAACGGAAAAAAATACTAAGATCCTGGTGGTTTCCTTAAAGTTTTATGGAATTGTTTTTGAGTTTCCAATCAAGGAAGTACTGGCACCATAGAGATCATTTGACTGTTCTTAAAGTTGGTTAAATGTAATTGATGTGATGGCGTGTGAGCAGTGGGGTAAGCCTTCATTCTGTTCAAGGCATCATTACTATAAATGATGGGGCTCAGCTGTGGATGTAGTGGAAACTGCTTTAAGTCTACATTTAATGCAACATAGTCAGCTTAATTACCTGAAGATAATTAAGAGATTGATAGGCAGAATCCCAGGAAATTAAATCCAAAATCTGAAATTTCCATCTTATTCTAATGTATCTTCTTGCGGGGTTTGGGGTGTTTTGTTTGGTTTGGTTGTTTACCATGCTGGCACTGGGGCTTGCTTGAACTCAGAGCCTTGTGCTCTTTCTTAGCTTTTTCCCCTTCAAGGCTGATGCTCTACAACTTGAGCCACACGTCCACTTCTAGTCTTTTGCTAGTTACTTGGAGAAGAGAGTCTCTCAAATTTGTCGGCCCAAGTTGGCTTCAAAGCTCAATCCCCACTCAGATCTCGGCCTCCTGAATAGGTAGAATTGTAGGTATGAGCCCAGTACCCGACCTCTGTTGTGTTTTGAACTAAACTAAAATGCAAATTGAATTCATAAGCTTTATGTATGTTTTCCCAGCTTATGTTACTACTCAGTAGAACATAGGAAGAAACAATGAAATATCCAAAACACACAAATGCAGGCAGGCAGAAAACAGTAGCAACCAAAGTTCACATTAACATATACACACAAGTTGGTAACCAGATTAAGGGTAGCCAAACATGAATGGAAACCATTATAATCGATCAACGTTCCTGGCTAATTGTCTTCATAATGAATAATCATTCATAGACAGTCCTTTTCAAAGATGAACCCCAAAATTAAAACTACTAAAAGGACACAGTAGATGACAACAGCAATAGGACTCTATCTCCCAACTTACCTTCGTATTTCTTTTTCTAGAAAGAAAAAAAGGGGTTGCTGAAGTTGCTTTCTGGAGCCTCTACCAAACGGAAGCCCCGAGTGTCCCCTCCAGCGTCACCCACCCTGGACATGGACCTGGGGGGTGGCGAGTTGTCCTTGCAGGGAGCGGTGGGTCCTGAGCTACCCTTAGGCAGCAGCCATGGTAGGACCAACTCCTGCTCCATGGATGGGGAAGGAACCGCCACTGGAGCCACAGGAGCAGCCTCAGTCCAGGATGCCTTCCACCGGAAGACCAGTTCCCTGGACTCCGCAGTACCCATCGCTCCACCTCCCCGGCAGGCCTGCTCCTCCCTGGGTCCTGTCCTGAATGAGTCCCGGCCTGTCGTTTGTGAAAGGTGAGTTCATCACCATCCCTCCTGGAGAGAGCACTAAAAGAGAATTTGGCAAGTTCAGGATATTTGGGGTGTTTTTTTTTTTTTTGCCAGGAAATGTATTCTCCTACGTAAGATATGTTTCTACAGTCCTCCTAAAAACAATGTTGGAAGCTGAGTTTGTAAGAGCCAGCGCTGACTTTTCCTTTTCCACTCAATACAGTGGACTTTCTTCCTCACATGCTTTTTACCTGCATCTATAGACTTCATTTCCTTTTTCTGTTTCTAGTCACCCACAGAAAATTGTATGCAGTCCCTGGAAACTTGCTCTTGTCTTTTTGTTTCTATTCTGTCACCAGCAGTTACTCCTGTTTTTGTTGTTAATATTTGGGAGGGGGGGTTGGTGGTGGTGGTGGTGGTCCTGGGGCTTGAACTCAGGGCATGGACTCTGTCCCTGAACATTTTTTTCTCAAGACTATTTGAGCCACAGCACCACTTCTGGTTGTCCGGTGTTTATTTGGAGATAAGAGTCTCACAGACTTTCTTGCCTGGGCTGACTTTGAACTGTGATCCACAGATCACTCAGCCTCCTGAGTAGATAGGATTACAGGCTTGAGCCACTAGCACCCAGCTTTTTTTTTTTTTTTTTAATCCCTTGACTTTATTAAGAGCTGACATCCTTACTTGCTGGTGATGAAGCCGTTTGAGAATTTTACCTGGCCAGAGAATGCTTTTCTCTTCAGCCGGAACAGTGTGGCTCCGGTCTCCATTGTACTCTTCTACTCCCAGCGACTTGATTGTTTTACTTAGAATAATGAGCTCTGTTTTAGTGATTCTGGTCTTGAATAATGATCACAAATGGGAGTCATTCTGTTTGATTCTGCCAATAGGGTTCTAGAAATGTGTTAAGAATAAAAAAGACACTTAATATGACAAATATCTACTAGGATTCTATAAACCGAAAAGCCAAATACTGTTCATTGCCCAAAAATATGTCATGAAGTATGCTATAATACTCTTCACATAACATGTAAACATTTAAGCATCATTTATTTTATTGTTTCTGTAAGCTTCATTCCCTCCAGATTTGCATTTCTTTCTTTTTTTTTTTTTTTTTTGTTGGTCATGGGGCTTGAACTCTGGGCCTGGGTGCTGTCCCTCAGCTCTTCAGCTCAAGGCAAGCACTCTACCACTTGAGCCACAGTGCCATTCCTGGTTTTCTGGTGGTTTCTTGGAGATAAGAGTCTCATGGACTTTCCTGCCTGAGTTGGCTTTGAACCATGGTTCTCAGATCTTAGTTACCTCCTGAGTTAGCTAGGATTACAGGCATGAGCCACCGACACCTGGCCAGATTTGCATTTCATAAATAAAACAAATTTTTTAATTCATGGAGGTAGCATTTGGGTAGCACGTTCTGTGTTTGCTGATTTGGTTTTGTTATTTGAGATAGATCTCAGAACTCTGAAATTCCAGCAATCCTTTTGCCTCATCCTGCTGAATAGCTGACATCTACCAGCACAGCGTGTCTGGCTTTGTGTTATAGATATGAAATCTTACTTGTTATACTTTAGAATGACTTAAATTTAAATTTATCTTACCTTTGTATTTCATGTGAAACTAAATGAAACTAGTACTCCCCCCCCCCCCCCGCCCCAAACTAAGGCCTTTGATCATATGATTTTTGTGACACATGATTTAAACTATTCAAAAAAATATATATAGTGAAAAGCCAGATACTGGTGACTCATGTCTGTATTCCTAGTTACTCAGGAGGCTGAAATCTGAAAATCACAATTAGAAGCCAGTCCAGCACACAAATTCAATTAACTAGCAAAAAATCAGTACTGTAGACATGGCCCAAGTGACAGAGTGAAAAAGCTCTGATTTCAAGTTCCAGTAGGAACAAAACAAACAAAGCACCAGATAAAGTATTCTCTCTCTCTCTATGTATATGTGTGTATGGGATGTGTGTGTATTATATATATATATATATATATATATATATATATATATATATATATTATATAATTTTTTGCCAGTCCTGGGGCTTGCGCTCAGGGCCTGGGCTCTGTCCCCGAGCCTCTATGTGCTTAAGGCTAGCTAGCACTCTACTATTTGAGCCACAGCACCACGTCTGACATTTTCTTGGTAGTTTATTGGAGATAAGAGTCTCACAGACTTTCCTTGCTGCCCAGGCTGGCTTTGAACCATGATCCTCAAATCTCGGCCTCCTGAGTAGCTAGGATTACAGGTGTGAGCCACTGGCGCCCAGCTTATTATATACTTTCAATAGTGAGGTGAAATCATTTTCTGTAGTTCTGACCCTTACAAAGCCAGGTTTGAAACGATCTCTCCCCCCCTGAAATCATTGTGCCCTTCACTTTGGGGGTTCCTCACACTTTCCAGAAAGAGTGCCTCCCATTCCGTTGTTGGTTCAGTTACTTGGTAATGTCTTTTAGTCACAAAGGCTCCCTCTCTGCCTCTAGGCATTGATCCATGGGTTTCCTCTATGCCCTGAGGCGCTCGGTTCTTTTTTTTTTTTTCCCTGAGCTTTGTGGTATTTCGTGTGACTGTTTAGATGGCGCTTCAGTGTGCCTGGGCTCTCCCTCGGCCTTGGCTGAGCACGGCTATGCCCCCGCTGCCCACCCCCTCCATACCCCATTATGCATTCCTTTTCACTTGCCAGATGTCCTCAGTCTCTGTGGACATTCCAGCCCTCTCCTCTTAGACTAGGGGCTCATTGCTAGCAGCAGGCTTCTGCCGTTCAATGCCTCTGAAAAGGAGAAGTCTGCTGAAGCAGACAGGTGATGCTGGTTGGGGGAGCAAGGGCTGCATATCCGATGAGAAACGCGGCCAATTTAATGAGGGCACAGATGGGCCTGGACACTGCAGAAATCAGTCTGGGAGGTTTTCATGTAAGCCTTTCAATTTGGGGGAGTGGAGAAGGGGTCTGTGGAGATTTCTGCCCAACTTTATATGTTTATAATCCACATAGGCTCAATGGAATATTAAATTTAATATGATAGGCAGCCCCACCAATGAACCCCAGCTCTTTGCCTAGCATGGCTTCTTAAAAATCTGTCCAACTATGAAAAGCAACAGAAAACTAGTAGAGGAAACAAACCATTATGGTTTTCACTGAGAATGAAATGTGGGGGTTAATAGAAAGCTACTAAGTATGTAATTTAGGGATTACTTCTTTGCATGTTTTCAACACAGTAAAAAAAAAAAGAACTGCTTAAAATGAAGGAAAGATTAACATTCACATTGGTATAATTCAGAAAGCATTTGAAGGTCTTAAAATTCCTTTATTCACTGTGAAAACATCAACTCTTGTTCTGACAAAACTCACAGAATTTCTTTGAAATATTTGTTTGCTGCATAGTACTGGGACAATGTGAGACACAATTATCTGTACACTCTAATGAGGAGAAGCATAAAATCCCTTGGCAAACCATGACCTGGTCTCATAAATCTAAAATAAAAAGGGGAGAAAAAAAGGAATACAGTTTTAAAAAATGTGACCAGGGCCAGTCCCAGACTGGCAATGGAAAAAGACATTGCCATGATGGAAACGTAAGCCGTCTCATAATAAGGAAGGGAGACCCTTGAAGTGTGTTGACAGGTCTCGGTGTCAGCTGAGAGAATTCTCCTGAGGAACAAAAGGAGTCTTTTGTGTGTGTTAGAGAAACTGCAGAAAACAAGCAAGAAAATAACACTGTATCCTGGAGGCAGAAAATGCATAATTGATGACAGCTGAAATAATAGAACAAATATATTTGGCTCTGTTTTAGAAGGATTGAGGGGTGGGGGAAGTAATTAGGAAATTGCCAAGAGAAAGTCGAAAGTAAGAATCTCAGCAAGGATGACAAATAAAAGTGTATGTGATAGGTTGGTTACCCCCTCCCCATTTCTTTATATTAGAATGTAAAGGGATAACCACATACCTTTCAGCCCATCTCCCAAGCTGGAAAAGAACCTATGTATGATCTTTGATCAAGGATTAAGCCACAGTACTTGGAAACATGCAAATCAGATAGGGGTAGATTTACAGAAAGGCAGTCGGGCTTAGCCAGCCTGATTAATTTCTTTGAGTCATGGACAATGAATGCACTGAGAGAGGCACTGGACATAATTTACTTGGACTTCGAGTTAGCTACAAAGCAAGCTGGTACAGTTTTGCCAGTGAAATACTTAATTGGGTATTAGATTGTATGGTAACTGGCAGAAAGCAGCGAATGGCTACTCACCCACACCAGGGGTAATGGATAAAGTGCTTCCCAGGGCAACCAGGGGTACATTTGGGGCAGTACCAAGGGAGATGAGAAATGGCAATGTGTGAACTACAGAAAATGCAGACAGGCCAGAACAGAAAAAAAAAAATCAGGGATACAGAAAGCTTACACTAATAAAGGATTTCCACTGCCTATCTAGATGGAAGCTAGAATACCACAGTTCAAGCCAGAAAGATTGACATAGCCTGTCAGTGGAGTTTCTGCATATCAGAGCAAGAATATTCGTCTCCACTTCCATCTGGGCAATATCACCAACAGCTGGTGAAGGAAGGTCTCACAGCCATGCTGAGGCAGAGACCTGCTCAGGCAGAGTCTAAACCCCACTGGGACCAAGAGTGCTATTGGGCCACCACTATACCAGTTAGCTTTTTACATTTCCTCCTCTTTTTTCTTCTTTTTTACTAGTATTTCTGCTCCTTTTATTCATTTTATTTGTTGCTTTGTTTGTTTGTTTGTTTCCCAGTCCTGGGGCTTCAACTCAGGGCCTGGGCACTGTCCCTGAGCTTCCTTTGCTCAAGGCTAGCACTCTACCACCTGAGTCACCGAGCCACTTCTGGCTTTTTCTGTGTATGTGGTACTGAGGAATCGAACCCAGGGCTCCATGCATGCTAAGCAAACGCTCTACCACTAAGCCACCTTCCCAGCCCATGGTTGCTGGGAATTTATAATTTATAAAACTTATCAATTCAATTATATTAAGAACATTTTGCAGCGACTCACCACTGTCCAGCTCTAGCAATGCTTCACGAGCTCACAGTGAAGCATTGTATTGTTTAAACAAGAGCCCCTCTCCCATTTTCCCTACCTGTAGTCCCTGGAAATGTTATTCTACTTCCTATTGCTATGAGTAACTATCCTGAGTCTCTCAGTGGAATTCTACAGTAGTAGTCCTTTTGGTTTTTTGTTTATTTCTTGTTGGTCGTGGGGCTTGAACTCTGGGCCTGAGTGTTGTCCCTGAGCTCTTCAGATCAACGTGAGCACTCTACCACTTGAGCCACAGCACAGCTTCCAATTTTCTGAGTGGTTTATGGGAGATAAGAGTCTCATGAACTTTCCTTCCTGGGCTGGCTTTGAACCGTGGTCCTCAGATCTCAGTCTCCTGGGCAGCTAGGATCACAGGCATGAGCCACTGGTGCCTAGCAATAGTAGTCCTTTTGTAATGGCTTATTTCACTTAATGTTTACAAAGGTGAAATGTTGCAGCAGAATTTCATTCCTTTTTTTAAAAATCCTTTCTTTTTAAAGAACATTGTACATTTCTTTAACAACAACAACAACCAATGTTACTGTAGGATTAAGCCTTTTCTTTCCAACATTTGACTCGCTTAGTAAGAACTTTGTGCAATGTATGGTAGAACAAGGCACATAAAGTGAATTTAGCATCATCTCTCCTCCCCACCCCCCCAGCAGATTGTAGCCCAGTCGATTAATAAGACAGAGACACAGGCAGTAATGATACAGTGCGTGCTGTGCTCAGTGCCTAAAAAACATACATGGAGAGACCTCTGGGCTCTAGTCAAGCATGAAATGACTTCCAGTCGTGGGGTTAGAGATTTCACAAGGGAGAATCAGAGCCAAGTCATGAGAGATTGATAGGGTGTGGATGAGCAGAGATAGAGGGGAGAAAATTTCTCAGTGCAAGATTTCATATGAGCCAAGGTGTAGCGTGGGAGGAGCGAAGTCCGGATTTGGGAGATAAATATGGGATTCTTCCCTAATGCCAGGCAAGCTTCAGGCGTGTTTGACACATTCATGGTGATGAAACCAGTTCTAGCTCTGAAGAGAGATTACATCCAGATCACAGAGAGCTTTGTCTACCAGTTTTAGGATTAACCTTACAAGTTTGAAAAGCTGTTAATGATTTTTCAGCAATGGGCAGCTACATATATTAATATGTAGCCAGGCACTGGTGGCTCACTAGGCCTAGCTACTTGGGAGGCTAAGATCTGAGAATCGAAGTTTCAAATCGAGCCTGACAAGAATTCATTGAGAAATAGAAGGAATGGAAAGGGTCCAAAGGGGGCGAAGATGTTGGACATAATGACACAGATCAAGGTGCATTCTACACATAAACTCCTTTGGTGAATGGCAACTCCTTCGTACAACTACCTAAAGGTAATAGAAAAGAACAACAAAAACCAACAACAAAAGAACAAACAGCCTGAGCAGGAAAGACAGTGAGACTCTTATCTCTAATTAACAATCCCAAAGCCAGAAATAGAGGTGTGGCTCAAATAAAAAAGCAGGAGCCTTGAGCAGAACTAGCTGAGGAACAGTACCTAGGCCCTGAGTTGAAGCCCCAGCACTGGCACCAAAATAATAATAATAATAGCCATAATGATGATGATAATGATGATGATATATGGCTTCTGTGTAGAATGGGTTGGAGATACAACAAGATCTGAAACAGGAAGGAGGTAGACAGTAATAAGGTCGTCAGCCAGGATACTGACACAGCCGATGAAGAGAAATGGAAGTGCTGAGGATGAGTCAGGAGATAACACAGAGATCTTGGGTAGAGTCTGTGCTTTTGAGGATCGGACCTACTCAAGAGCCCTGTGGTCCTAAAGACAAGAATAATCCAGTGAGGCCATGGCGGGAGGGGCGGGGGGCGGGGCGCCGATGTGAGGGTCCTGGGCAGCTGTGCCTTACATCTGTTTGCTGGTGTGTAAACATTCTGCTTGGCAAAGCTTCTCAGTGCCTGAGATCGTAGGCCTCCCCGTGCCAGCATTTGGCCATCCGAGTCCGCAGGAGAAGTCTCTGGGCAAACCACCTCACCAGGCTGGAGGCCCAGGGCTGGGCCAGATGGCGTCTGTCCCTAGTGCACCTGGTCGTCTTCTCGCGATCAAGACTGGGTCACCGTTTCCACAGTGTGCGCGTGGTTTTGCATTCTATCTGCCCGCCCCCCTCCAGAGGTTTATAACTTAGCAATGAAGATTTACTCCCACTGGGAACTTGGCAGGAAGATTATGTTCTTAGCCCAGCAGCAGTTCTAGTTCAAAAAAATTTTTTTTGACAAAATTGGTTTAGTGCATTTTATAAAATGCAAATATTATCTAATTCACTTTTTACTTTTCCAGCCCTTTCTATGCCATTTTACCTTTAAGGCAGCTTGTGGGAGAGCCAGTCAGAAATGCACCTCATGAGGGATCTCCTCTGAATGCATTTTGAATCACTGCTCTGCTCCTTCCTTCCTTCCTTCCTTTTCTCTTTCTTTCCTTCTTTCTTTCTTTCTTTCTTTCTTTCTTTCTTTCTTTCTTTCTTTCTTTCTTTCTTTCTTTCTTCTCCTCCTCTCCTCTCCTCTCCTCTCCTCTCCTCTCCTCTCCTCTCCTCTCCTCTCCTCTCCTCTCCTTTCCCAGAATTGTAAAGCTTTCTTAAATTTTAACTTGCCCCCAATGACAGCGACATCATTGCTTGTTATGTGGATTTTTGGCATATTGGCATCAGACCTGAGAAATCTCATCTGGATCCTTCTCTCGGAGAAAACCATGATGAAATCATTTGGCTTGTTTTGAAAGATATCAAGTGAAGTGATTCCAAAATGCCATGTCATTCCAAAGTATGTGAAGTGTCATTGTCAGCAGATTCTGAAGTTGTGGCCTGAGTTTGTTTCCTGGTTAGAGGTGGCTTACTACGGGCTAGCCATTCCTTCAGACCTTCCCTCCTAAATGACACACCCCTGCGTACTTTCACATAAGCTATGGCCATTGTGGGAGCTGAATCTGGGAGGGAACGAGGTATCAGTCACTATCCTAGAGCATCACTTTCTTCATCTCATTACACTGGGTATTAAATATTTGTCTAATTCATTACACTCTTGTTCTACAAATGAAGGAACTGGACAGCTCAAATAAACAAGGCCAAAGTGAAGCTGCTCTCAATGACCCTAAAGACTGTGTCAGGCTGGGCACCAGTGGCTCACGCCTGTAATCCTAGCTACTCAGGAGGCTGAGATCTAAAGGTCCTCGTTCAAAGTCAGCCCAGGCAGGAACGTCTGTGAGACTCTTATCTCCAATTAATCACCAGAAAACCAGAAGTGGCATTGTGGCTCAAGTGGTAGTGCGCTCACCTGAGCTGAATTGCTGAGGGACAGTGCCCAGGCCCAGAATTCAAGACTTACCAACAACAACAACAAAAAAGACTGTGTCAGCCCCTTGGGCCAAAGCTTCTCTCAAGTACCAAGCCTCCTCCTCCACTCGGCCCTTGATTGACTTTGCCGTCTGTAACTGCTTATGCTTGAATAAGCTGACCCAGCCCTAGAAACAGTAAACTACCTCGTGTTATACTTGTGCTTCAGATTGTGGAGAGCAATTTAGTTCTTACACCCAAAGGAGCTGAGTAACAGCGTGGGCAGCCAGTTCACCTTTGTAAAATATTCTGAGGTTCTTGCTAAGCAGGGTCTTTCTTCATGTGAATGGGCCCTGATTTTTATGGAATGATAATTGGCTGGAGGATCAGGCTCTACTGATCTCTTGACCGTGGGAGGACCAGCTACCTTCATACCACCACTGGCTTCTTAATGTTGGCCTTGGGGGCGAAAAAGCTTCAATTCCTTACAACGGGCTTCCTCCAGAAAGAGGCTGAGTGTCCTCACAACATGGCAGCCGAATTTCCAGAGTGAATGAGCCAAGAGAAAGGAGAAGCCACAACGCCTTTAATGGTCTAGTCTTCAATATCATACACTAGGAAGTGGCACTGTGGCTCAAGTGGTAGAGCACTAGCCTTGAGCTGAATAGCTCAGAGACAGCGCCCAGGCCCAGAGTTCAAGCCCCACAACCGACAAAAAAAAAAAAAAAATACCATACACTATCCCTTTCATAATATCCACACAGGTCATCCCTAAGCGTCATGGGAAGAGTGTACACAACATGAAAATGCTAGCAGCTCTGGGGCTAGCCAGGAAGTTAGCCAAGATACACCACAATTTCCAATGAACACAGAACCTAAAACTTGTCATCTCCAGCTGGCCTCCCTGGCAGCTGGTCCTAGTCTATATAAGGAGACTAAGAGCTATGGAGGGAGGAGGACAGGTAATATTAACTCAACAAGGCTAAGCTTGGCACCAGTGGCTCTCACCTGCAGTCCTAGCTTCTTAGGAGGCCAAGATCTCATGATCTCTGTTCAGAGCCCCTTGTTTCCTTCAGTTAACCAGCAAGAAGCAAGAAGAAAAGGTGTGTCTCAAATGGTAGAGTGTTGCCCTTAAGTGAAAAAGCCAAGCAAGATCACAAGGTGCTAAAGGCAAGCCCCCTACTGGTGTGTGCATGCACACGCACGCACGCACACCTACACAAAGTTATGAACACTGTACATGGACAAAATGGCTGTTCCAGGACAGGTCTTTCAAACAAACCAGCCTGGGCCATCAGTGGTAGATGATTCTGTGTGTGTGTGTGTGTGTGTGTGTGTGTGTGTGTGTGTGTCTATGGGTGTGTTGGTGCTAAGTCTTGAACCTAAGGGCTTAGGCGCTGTCCCTTGGTGTTTTCACTCAAGGCTGGTATTCTACCACTTGAGCCAAAGTTCTACTTCTGACTTTTTGCTGGATAATTGAAGATAAGAGTCTCACAGATATGTGTACCCAGGCTGGTTTTGAACCATAATCCTTAGATATCACCTCCTGAGTAGGTAGGTATGAGCCACCATTTTTGTCACATTTTGTCACATTTTTGTCTAACTGACCTATCTTCCCCCCGCCCCCCTTCTCAGGCACAGGGTAGTGGTTTCCTACCCTCCTCAGAGTGAAGCAGAACTTGAACTGAAAGAAGGAGACATTGTGTTTGTTCATAAAAAACGAGAAGATGGCTGGTTCAAAGGCACATTGCAACGTAATGGGAAAACTGGCCTGTTCCCAGGAAGCTTCGTGGAAAACATCTGAGGACACTGACACTGAGAAGGCTTAAAATCACCCACACAACAAAATAGCACAAAGCAGTTTCGTGGAAAGAGCACATCTGTGGACTTCCAGGTTGTCAGAAGCTGAGGGAAGGGTTGGCGTGTGACTCCACAGCTCTCCCAGCACAGATCCCCCAATGACAAGAATAAAGTATCTGGATGTCGTTCTCACTCTGGGGTCTGATTGTAAGGTGTGCCTTGTACTGTCTGATATACTATACGGAGAAATCTTTTTTTTTTTTTTAAAGATCTATAACTAAAATGGACAATTGTTTACAAGGCTTAACTAATTTATTTGCTTTTTTAACTTGAATTTTTCTTGTAATAGATAAAAATTCTTTCGATTATGATTTTAAGAAATTATTAATTTATGAAATGATAGCGAAGGAGAAGCTGGATCATCTCCTGTTGAGAGCAAGAGATCCTTCTCAGACATAGAATGCATCTTCCCTGCCCTTGTTCACTTCTCTCTACCATGCTATTTTGCTTCTCTGAAACAGAAATGCCAGTTCTTAGCCAGGCACCAGTTATGGCTCACACCTATAATTCTGACTGCTCAGGAGGCTGAGATCTGAAGATACAGGTTTGAAACCAGTCCAGGTAGACAAATCTGTGAGACCCTTGTCTCTAATTAATTAGCAGAAAGCCTGAAGTAAAGATGTGGCTGGAGTAATAGAAAGCCAGCTGTGAAGGGAAGAAAAAACCGAGAGCACAAGATCCTGAGTTCAAACCCCAGTACTGGTGCGCATGCACACGCACGCACGCACACACACACACACACAGAAAGAAATGCCATTTCTCTTGATTTGTGTTTGGGTTTTCTTTTGTATTTGGGAAAACCAAACATACAACTACCTGGAGAACAAGGGTCTGGGGGAAAGGGAACAGAAACTTGAGAGAAGAAAAGTTAGCAATTCCCTGTCTTTTCTAGTCTGATCAGGAATCAGCCTGAAGACTAGTACTCAATTAAGTTTGAGGGCTTTAAATTTTTCCTTGAATCAGTGAGGCGGTAAGGAAAAATAAAAAGCACAACCGTAGACAAAAATGTATTCCGAAATGTGTAGTTTTGTAGCAGGAGCAGCTCAATTCTTTGGGTAGACAGTAGAAGAAATTGAAGTTGTGTTCCTTGAGAATGGCCATGACACATAATTTCCATTTTTCTCTGAGTGGTGTGCATGTCCCAGGACACCATCAAGTGTTTGTGAGGTGGCTGTGGTAAGTGATGCCCTCATGTTGAAGTCAAAGGCCGTGAGAAACACTGTGAAAGGTTTCCATTTGTCCATTGTGATTCTTTCTCCTCCATCTTGCATGTGTTACTGGAGTCCCACAGTGACAGAGGCTGCATGGTATGTATATTTCATGGCGATTTCCAGTCCAGGTTAGACTGCACTCAGAATTGACCAGAGCAAGAGCAGGAAGTGTAACATAAACAACATTCACTTCTCTCTCTCTCTCTCAAAGCCGCTAACTGAGTGTTGGGGAAACAACTTGAGTGCACTCAGTCCCTTTCTAGTGAAGGCATCCATCAACCGGCACAACAGTCCTTAGTGACAGTGCTCTTTTGTGTCCTCCCAGCAGACAGAAGGAAGGACAGGTTGATCCAGGAGACTGTGGGCTCTTGGGCCTGGAGACTCCTCCTGGGGAGGGCCCAGCTGAGCTTGCCTTTATATCCAGTCTTTGATGTGATTGGCCACTCCCACCGAGTTCTGTAGGATGCCACCCAGTCTTCAATCTGGCCAATCCAGAAAACAGAAAGGAGGGAAGACCAGCCTGGTAGTGAATGAGATTAATACCACAGTTTTCTCAAAGAAAAAAAAAAAACAAATACAAACCTCATCCCTATTTTTCTTTGTGTGTGTGTGTGGGGGGGGGGGTTGGTTTGTTTGTTTTGTTTTTGTTTTTACTTTGAAGAATTCAAGCTGGGAAATAGAAACATGAAGTGAGCAGTCATCTTGCAAGATCGAGAGGTTTAATTGTCTTAAAAAGATATGTCATGTGGTCCAAAATAAAATCAATCATTCCTAAGTTACTTTTTTTTTTTTTTTATAAAACACTGTATATTATGTTCGTGTGTCTGTTAAATTTTTTTAAACAAATACTTTACTTGGATATTCATGTAATATATAAGGTTTGGTGAAATGATCTTTAGTTAGGAAACAAAGGAGCTGACACCAGCTTTTGTGGGTGTAAGTTGACACCAATGTGTCGTAATATTCTTTATTTTGGGAAATCTGTGTATTTTATAAAAATTTTAAAAAAGTCAAAAGACTACTACAGGTTAAGATTTTTTTACCTGTCTTTTTCTCCATATTTTAAGCTATGTGATTATGTACCTCTGTTAATAGTTTCCTGGTATAAAGTTGGTCCAAGTTTCATCTGTTAATAGATCATTAGGTAATACAATGTATGGGTTTTCTATTGGTTTTTTTGAAGACAGTAGATGGATTTTGTAACAAGGGCTTGTTACACCATGATATGGTAATGATAAAATTGTGATTTATCATTCCTTTTCATGTGAACAATTTGAGGACTGGATAAAAGGTTTTGAGATTAAAATTTGATGTTCAACCTTTGGATGCTTTTTGTTTCAATCCTTAAAATTTCACTCCTAGTTTCTGGATCATAAAAAATACTTGTATGTAATACTGATATTTGTAAGAGTTTTGATCATTTTAATGTGTGCATGTGTGCATGTGCGTACACACACACACACACACACACACACACACACACGCACGCACACACTGGTCCTAGGACTGGAACTAAGGACTTGTGCGCTGTCCCTGAGCTTTTTGGCTCAAGGCTGATCCTCTACTTTCAGCTTTTCAGAGATTAATGGGAGGTAAGTGTCTCATAGACTTTCCCGCCTGGGCTGGCTTCAAACTCCAGGGTTCCCAGATCTCAGCCTCATGAGTAGCTGGGATTACAGGTGTAAGCCAGCACATTATGGTTTTGTTTACCAATCCAGAAACCTTATTTGAAAACCTTACATTTCCCCAAGAAGCTTAAAGTCTCCAGATACTTCCTGGGATTTTACAAGGTTTTGTCTTAACCTTTTTCTCCCTTGCCCCTCTTGACAATAACATTCACCCAAAACAATGTGGAGAATATTGCCAAGTTATCTACTCCACAAGTAGCAGGCCTGTATTAACTACATGATAGCCCAGAGGGTTCGACCTGGCACAGAATATAATCCTTAGTCTATGATGTTACTGGTCCATAATAGTTTGTGGGTTCTTGGGGAGACAGTAGTTCCTGGGAGTCAAATCAGTACGTCCTGCCTGCTGAGTAGTTGCTCTACCATTCCTGGCACCCCTACCATTCCATTTTTGAGTTGGTTGTTTTCAAGATAAAGTCTTAGTTTATGCCCTGGCCAGCCTGGATTGAAATCCTATTTGTACTTCTCTTTGTTGCTGGTGTGACATGCATACACCACTGCATCTAGCCTTTGGTTGAGATGGAATCTTGCGAACATTTTTGTCCAGGCTGATTTATGAACTACAATCCTCTCATTTCTTCCTCCCAACTAGCTACGACATTACAGGTTTTAGCAATACAAGTAATTTTTAAAGTAGTTTCCTGCCTTTTTTTGCTGGTTATTTTGGAGATAGAGTCTCTCAAAATTTTGTGCCCAGGCTAACTTCTATGATCATCTGGATCTCAGTCTCTTCAGTAGCTGGGATTTCAAGCCTAAACCACCAGTTCCAGCTCTTCAAATGTTAAATCTCATTCCCTTAAAGTATATTGTAGTGACCAATACCTTTCTAGGTCTCATTGCATTTAATTTTATTCCAGTGATAATAGGCTTTTGTTGTTGTTGTTGTTTGGGGTTTTGTTTGTGGAGGCAATACCTAGCTAGCTAGCTAGCTAGCATCTAGCTCCTGGGTTCAAACAATCTGATTCAATCTTACAAGCAGCTGGAACTGTAGGCATATGCCACCATGCTTAGCTTGGGATAGCATTTTTATAACTGTAGATATTGAGGTGGATATTCCAATCCATAACTACATAAAACACTAAAATATGAGTTTGGAAAGTTCTTTTCATAGAGGTTGAACTTTTTATATCCATGTGGAATTTTTTAAATTGTGTTTGAAGCAATTAAAATGTGTTCTTATGTAGACAGAGTTGCAAGACGTTCTAAGAGAATTTGCCAGCCTCCATTAAATATTTACAAAAGAAACTACCCAATGTCTAGGTTTGGAAAGGAGGATAGCCCTCCCTTATGCTCCTTCCAGACTATAATGGAGGAGTCCAGTGGATTTGCTGTACCCCACCTCTAAGTGATTAATTACCTTTAGGGCCAGGAAAGAGCTATCACTCAGAGTGGTACACAGTCAAAGTAAATGGACCGTTTTCAAATATTCTCTATCTGGATTGTAAATGAACATTGATTTCCTTTGTGTTCCATATTTTGTTAACCCTTGAACGGTGTGGGTTTGAATTATGCAGGCCACTTATCCTGAGCTTTGGAGATTTGAGACAATTTGAAAATTTGCTAATACAAATCACATACCCTAGAAATAGCAACCAAAACATAACAACATTAGCTGTGTCCTGAGTTCATATGTATGTAGATGCTAGTCTTCCACTATTTACTATCATAAAATAAATCTGTTAGTTAAAACTTACCAAAAGTTACACAAGCACAGTCATAAAGATGCAATGTTAATTTGTTAACTGCATTGTGAGGTGCCCGTGGCTCGGGCCTGAAATTTTAGCTATTTCATGGAGGCTGAAATCTGAGGATCATGGTTCAAAGCCAACCTAGGCAGAAAAGTCCATGAGATTCTTACCTCCAAATAACCACTAAAAAGCCAGAAGTACAGTTGTGGCTCAAATGGTAGATCCTTAGCCTTGAGTGAAAAAGCTAACGGTGTCAAGGCCCTGAGTTTAGTACCAGCGCACACACACACACACACACACCACGTAACTACCTAAAGTTGACTATAGTGCATGCTATGTCTTTTAGTGACGTCAATTATTGCAAATAGCTGCTTGAAATCTCCCCTTAAGCAGTTCTTTTGAGTAAATTGTGTAAGGCATTTAAAAATGATCTGCAGTTCTTGCATATTATTCACAGTTTATAACACATGTATAATATCATCTGTTAACGTCAGTCAGCTGGACATGATGGCATAAGCTGATAATCTCTGAGAAGAGGGCTTACATATGTATAATATGGTTTGGAGGAAGTTAAAAGTTATTCTCAAGTTTTTTACTACGGGTGGGGGCAGGGCTGGCACCCCTAACACCTTCAATTTGTTCAAGTGTCAGCTGTAATAACTTTCTGATTGGCTATTTAGGCTTCCATTGATCCAGACTCCAATGACTAAGGAAGGGAACAATGGCAGTTGACATTAATCTTTCAGCCAGGATTCAATACTACTCTTACAGGATCAGACTGCTTTAATGGTACTGTTAAGTCTCCAAAGATAACAGAGTTATTTTCACTACAATCAATGAGCCAGGTGCCAGAGCCCTTAGGTGAGCAATTTGGTTCCAAGTGATCTTTGACCTTGAAACTGAATATTTCAAGGTCTAAATCTTGTTATAATACTAAATCATGAGAGTCTTTGGAGAAGGCCTTCCTAAAAATGACTCAAAATCAGAAACTAGCAGGGTACCCAGGGCTCATGCCTATAATCCTAGCAACTCAAGAGGTTCAGAGCTGAGGATCAAGGTTCAAAGCCAGCCTGGGCGGGAAAGTCCATGAGACTCTTATCTCCAATAAACCACCCAGAAAGCTAGATGTAGAACTAGAGTACTAGGCTTAAGCAAAAGAAGCTCAGGGACTGCTCCAAGGAGTCTCTCTCTGTCTCTGTCTCTGTCTTTGTCTCTCTCTTTCTCTCTCTCTCTCTCTCTCTCTCTCTCTCTCTCTTACACACACACACACACTCACACACTCAGAAATAACATTAAGGAAAAAAGGTTAATAAATTCAACTACAAAGAAATTGGAAAGCCAAGCACAGTGGTTCATGCCTGTCATCCCAGCTAGATATTTACCCGGAAGTGTTAATGGGATCTTTTTTGGGGGGGGCGGGGGGGAGGGTCTGGTCTTGGGGCCTGAACTCTGGGCCTGGGCACTGTCCCTCAGCTCTTCAGTTCAAGGCTAACGCTCTACCACTTGAGCCACAGCGCCACTTCCGGCTCTTTTCTTTCTGCTTATGTGGTGCTGAGGAATTGAACCCAGGGCCTCAGAGGCATGCAAGGCAATTGCTCTACCACTGAACCACCTTCCCAGCCTGTGTTAATGGGATCTTAGTCCAGGTAGGGGACTGGGCTAGGGACCCCATTCAAAAAATAACAAGCCAAAAGGACCAGAGATGTGGGTGGCTCAGAGGTAGAACACCTGCCTAGCAAGGCCTTCAGTTCAAACTCCAGCACCACCAAAATGAGCAAGAAGCAAATATCTAGACAACAAAATACCATAATCAGTGTCAAAAGCATAACAAATTTCCATAGCAGCTAAAAAGGCAATTTCCTTTAAGAGCACTTTTATGAATAAAAACAAAAACCCAAAGTAACATTAGCCAATAATTTGTGATAGAGACTGCCAATTGCCTCTCAACAGACCTTTTTCTTCTCATGAGCTGTTATCTGGGTAATATGTTTACTTAAAAACCTGATTTTCCAGTTTCCCTGAAGGTTAGAATTAGCCCTGTTAATAAATAGGTTTTTGTTTTGTTTGTTTTGTGGGGTTTTCTTGAGACAGCGTCTCACTATGAACCCAGGCTAACTTCTAACTGTGGATCCTCTTATCTCTTAAGGCATCTCTGCTCCTTACCTTTCTCCTGAGGGACTGTAGGCATGTGCCACCACCATCAGTTGGATTGGGGTTTTTGTTTTCGAGACAGGTCTTTCTATGTAGTTCAGGATGGCCTTGAACTTGAAATCCTCCTACCTCAGCCTCTCCAGCTCGTAAAGATGAGCACCACACACCTGGTTCTATCTAAGTTCTTGCTGAAACCAAAAAAGGCGGGGTGGGGGAAGACTTCTGATCCAATTTCTTAGGGGGTAGCACATACCCTTCCTCCTTTTATTGTTTCTTCTTCAAGCCGCCCGTGCAGACAATGTGGCTATACTCCAGCCACTCCGAGAGACAGAATGTCATATGCAGGGCTGCATGAGGAAGCTCCCAGAGTGGCAAAACTGAAGTAGATTGGAGCGAAGGGGATATTGAGGTCACTGCTCTTACTGGGGTTCCAAGGATGGATAGTTTGAACACTTGGAGCGCTATTGAGGTGGTCCTGGTCCCTAGCTACCTGGCACCCAATCCTGGAATGACTAAGGCAGGGGAATGCTGGGATTGACACATAGAGAAGGAGTATATGGCTCAGAGTTGCTTGGTCTACTATCAAAGGCTTGCTCCCCAACGCAGCCCTCCGTTATCTGTAAGAATTGGCTAGTCCCTGAAGGGGAATTGGCTAGTCTCCTCAGCCTGAAGGGAGTTTTGTGAGCTACTAAAATGTCATAACATACAGAACATTCTTAAATATTTGTAACACAAGCCATCAGGTGTCTCTAGAGGTGGAAGAAAAAAATAAAGCAGTCAGGTGCTGGTGCTCACA